TATTGTACCAGTGTGTAATGATTTGGTGCTCTAACATCTCACAAGGTATCCTAAGACTGTTGTTTCAATATGTGGATAGCAATGAGAGGTAAAAAATATTGCGTGGGCTAAATTTATTTTTCATGAGACGAAGAGAGGCATTCAAATTGCCATGGAAGAAATGAGAAAGTGAGGGGTTACATACGTACCTGGATGCATATCACTCATTCATGTAAGTTGTATGTTCATATGGTTTGATTTTTGTTTTAGTTATTAGCAGTTTTGATAACTATGATAAAAGTTAACATGCATCAGAAAACATGTACAAGATTGAAAGTTAACATGATATGGTGAAAATTAACATGTTAACGTGAAACTTAACATATGAAGATGAAAGGTATCATTAAAATATGACAGTTAACATGTACGCCTGAATGTTAACATATAATAGTGAAAGTTAACATTTAAGTGTGAAAGTTTGCTATTTAGACTAAAGTTGAACAAAGAGTTTTGAAAGTTAGAAAGAAAAATTATGACAAACATTTGTTGCTTCTCTTTCATCTGTTTCATGTTATCTGTAGTTTTACTAGTTTATAAAAGCTTAAAAATTATTTCATTCTATTTTGATAGTTATGATACTAAGAGATGACGGACATTAAAAAACTAGTCCTTAACTTGAGATGGAAGCCTCCTTTGACTAATTGGGTAAGGGTTGGAGGGACGGCTGGATCTTTAAGGAGAGATACAATTGTTTTCAAGGCAAGGAAAGTAAGCATTAAAATCATAGAGAAACCAATTTCTCCTAGCAGCCCACGGAGTGAGAAATACTCTCAAAGGGAGCCTAGTTTTAAGAAGGATGATATCTCTCATCGGGGGAAAAAAGAACCCCCCTCGTCTCTGATAGGAATAAATCTATGGAGCAATCACTGCCGAAGAAGGTTGCCTAGATGAAGAAGAAGGATAAGCAAGAAGGGTTAAGGATGAGAAGCCAGAGAAGGTGAATGATAGATCTAAGAGCTCATCAATAGGCTACATAAGAATCAATTATTCTTTACATGATAACCTTCATTAATGTTGAGTTAGTGTTCAGCAGAACATGTGAATTCTCAGCATAACATGATAACTTTTATCCTTACATGTTATCTTTCATGCTTACATGTTACTTTTTATTCTTACATGTTAACTTTAGTCTGTATATGTTAATTTTCAGAGTAACATGTTAACTTTTATTATTACATGTTAGCATTTTAAATTTTGTTGATTTTCATAACTATTATCCTTAAAAAAAATTTATTGTTTATATAAGTATAATGGGTATATGGTTTTTTTTAGATTTTCTCCTAACATATCAGTGATGCTCTTGAAAAAGAAGATGAGATAGAGAAGTTATCAAGTGATGAGCAAATTTATTTTTGGAGGAATACCGTCAAACTAAATTGGAAACTGCTTCATGCTGTCAAGCGTAGCAAGCGATATCAATAGGATGCTTGCACCAAGGAGATACAACGACTTTAACAAGAAATTAGAGATCTATGAAGGAACTAGTAATCTCATTGATCCCGAAGACCTTAAGAATAATGTGAAGAATCTTATGGCATAGAATGATAGGCATACTACGGCTGCACAGAGGAAGAAAAGTAGTTTGGATTCTTTTGATAGGGGTGATGATATTGGTTGCTTCGATTATGATGATGTAACCAATATTGGATAAGAAGCTTCTCATATTGCGGAGGAGGTTGTGTAAATGGAGAAGGAAATAGATGAAGTAGAAGAGAAAAAACAAGAAACTGCACAAAAAGAGAAGGAAGTATAGAAAGAAGAAGGGCAAGAAGTGGATGTTGAGAATGTGAAGAAAGAGAAAGAGAAGAAAGAAGGGAAAGAAGAGGATGGTGAGAATGTGGAGAAATAAGAAGAGAAGAAAGAGGAAGAGAAAGAAGAAGAGAAGAAAGAAGAAGAAAAAAAGAAGATAAAAAGGAGAATGTTGAAGAGTCATCAATTAAGAAATTCATTGTCGCACCGGAGGCAAAAGTTTTTCGGAAGAGAACGAAGAAATTAGCTTCAAATGGGGACAAGGGCACCAAGTAGCAGGATTAGAATGCGATCATAGCTAGTCCGAACCCCATTCACTGAAGAAAAGAAAAAAGAAGTTGATGAAGAGATAATTATAGTATCACACCAGAAGGATGAGGAGAGAAAAAAATCAGGTACTACTGTAAGTCTGATGAATGCATTTGGGATTTTCTGAAGAACACAAAAATCAAGAAGAAGGAGGAGGCTAATCTGAAGTTTTTATCCGATGGTATTCCTATTTTTTTGATTTTGGCATACGCTTGGTTGATAGTGAAGAAACATTCATTCACAACTTTAGAATATCTCATCATGTAGAGGCAAAGCTCACACCAGATGAGAACAAATGGGTCTCAAATTTTTACAATCAGAAATTCTATCAGTAAGTTTAGTAATTCTCATTCATGTTTGGCTACACATTACCCGTTATGTTTTATCCATTCATGTTAATGTTTGTGTATAAATGTTAATATTTCCCAATATATGTTAACTTATGGACATTTATGTTAACTTTTGCTCGTATATGTTACCTTTCACTGTTACATGTCAACATTTATCAGCAACTGTTAATGTTTGTATCTTACTGCTATATTTTAGGTTGTGTATTATTGTTAATACGTCGAACAGTAGTATTGAAGCTTTGGAGCTTCTGTATCTGCTTCGTGGAGGCTGTCTCATGACCATGCAAGTTTAATATGTTTAAATATATGCATATCTATTTTTTACATTATGCTGTTATGTAATTTAATTTTTTCGTTCCCTTATATATGAAGCCTATAATCCATGGTGTTGATACAATGCAAGTAACTACTCCCGATGATGAATCTAATGTCATACGTGTCTGACATACAGCTAAACTTCTAATAGAAGGATGGGAACAGAAGAATCAAGCAGAGACATTAGATAAGGATGGGAGAAAGTTGTTCTAAAAATTGATTGATTGAACTAAAACTTGTGTGCATGTTTATATTGTGTATATTAATTTAGTTGTGCAAACATATGATGTGGATGACAAACAATGCAACAAGCTTGACCTTTATTGTTCTTATTATATTTTTGGTATTTTTGCTACAGTATATCTATGTTTTATTTTGATACAACATATATTTAACAGGTTCAAATAAAAAGCTACATGTTCACCTGAATGTCAACAGAAAAAGTCAAAACTTAACATGTACATTTGACAATTTAACATATTCAGCTGAAATTTATCATGTTATGAAGAAAACTGACATGTAACAATGAAAGTTAACATATTCTGTTGAAAGTTAACATGTTAAGCTAAAAGTTATCATGTACAGCTTAGAGATATTTTAGAACCAAGATAATTAACAGAAAACACAAACAGAATACCTCAGCTAAACAAGTACATTACACAAAACTTCTTACATTCTTACAGCTGATATTACTTGAATACGCAGTAAATACTTAGTTTTTTAACTTCACATATTACAAAAGTCTTCCACAATATCATTTTCACAGCAGCATATTATCATTTTATTTTCATTTTTGTCATTTTCACCATCATAAATTTAAGCATTATCTTGATACAACATATATTCGGCTGAAAGTTAACATATACAGCTGAAAGTTAACATGTTCGGCTAAGAGTTAACGTGTTCAAGTGAAAGTTAACATGTTCATATTAAATTCAACATATTCGACTGAAAGTTAATATATACTTATGAAAGTTAACATGTAAAGCTTATAGTTAACCATTTAAGATGAAAGTTAATATATTCAGCAAAAGTTAACATCTTCACTTGAAAGTTAACTAAATAGTCGGAAAGTCAATGTGTACAGTTGAAAGCCAACATGTTCATTTGAAAGTTAACATAGTCAAATAAAAGTTAACATGTTCAGCTAAAAGTTTTTTAGCTGAAAGTTATTATAGTACCAAGATATTTAACAAGAAACACAAACAGAATACCTCGACGAAACAAGTACATTATACAAAACTTATTGCATTCTTACAGCTGATATTGCTTGAATATGCAATATGATTAGTCTTACAACTTCACAGATTACAAAAATCTTCCCTAAAATACTGTAAAATTTTGGACAACCTATATTTTTCTAACAAAAGTATGTTGTAAGAAGCAGTCCACACTAATCACCAATTAGCTCGTTGCAAGTTGCTCGATTGTGACCCTCAGCTTTGCATCGAGAACATTTCACTGGACGTTTGTAAATGGTTCTGTTGTTTATACGTCTAGTTCTATTTCTTCCCTTCCTCTTAGTGGTAATTGATGGCAATACCAGGATTTCATCTCTTGGCACACCCCGCTTCTCATAATCTGGTATGGGATAAAGGATTTCTTCGTAGCTCTTCTTAAACATTTCTACGGACATAAAACAATCACAATATTGATATATATCTCTTTTCATATAAATAATGACTACACAAGCATTCACACAAGGAATACGTGTTACGTCCCAAGCTCGGCAATTGCATGTCCTCTTCTCCAAATCAACGTGAGTAGTTCTATGTGATTGCACTTCGAATATATCATCTCTAGATTGCTTAATCTCTAAAGTATATCATTTTCCCATATTTACTCTAACAATCTGCTCAGTTTTAGGAAAAAGAAAACCACTCCACTTATCAGCCATTATGCGTCTGTTATTCATGCAAACTATAATTTATTTTCGGATGCTCCACCATTTGTAGTACACATAACAATCGAGCTTCACGTATCTAGCTGTTAAAAGATTTTGCGACATTAGAGGTTACATGACCATATCTGCAAACATCAAATAATAAAAAATATAATATATACAATATATAATAAAATTAACACGTAACTACAAAATGTAACTGTTAAGAGTGAAAGTTAACATATAAACCCAAAACCTAACACATAGTAATGAAAGTTAACATCTACTATCTATAGTTAACATGTACAAAGGAAACTTAACATATATGTGAGAGAGTTAACATCAACTGCAAAATGTCATAATGATTGAATGCCGTACCTAATTCTAGGGAAGAATGCATTTGCCCACTGCTCTGACGAATAATTAATTGCAATCTCATATGCAGCTGGAGACATCTCATAAATTTCCTTCATGTAGTCGTTCCATTTTGTTGTAGTGTATTTATAGCAAGCATATTGGAGCAAATTTCCCAAAATTTGTGTGTACTTTGCCTTCATTCCCATTCCCGAATCCTTTAGCTTTGATCTAAAATTTTCAACCAGGTGTAGAACACATCTTGAGTGAATTGCTTTAGGAAAATATTCTCTCACAGCTTCTCGAATCCTCTTGTCAGCATTAGAAATAATTATCAATTGGTGGGGAGGATTGTATGGGTCTGACTTTTCATACAGTATGGACCATAGCCCTTGAAGGAACCATCTCCAATTAGCTACATTTTCCTGATCGCATATGCAATACGCAAGTGGAAATATCCCTCGGTCTCCGTCGTATACTATGGCGTTGAGGAGCATGCCTTTGTATCTGTCTTTCAAAAAGGTCTCATCCAAAAATAATAGTGGTCTACTTCCATTTAAGAAACCAATGATGCAAGCAACATAACATATGAACAGTCTTCTAAACCTTCCTTCTTTCTGTTCAATGCAAACGTAGCTTCCTTGATTCGTTTCCTTCACCATGTGCTCATACGTGTACATCAATGTCACCACATTTCATGTAAATATAATACATTGGAGAAAATATGTATTAATTTTTTAAAGTTATTGTCTTATAGTGAAAGTTAATATAACATCCCATGGTGACAGTTAACATATATCAATGAAACTTAACATGAAACGTCTAAGGTTAATATATTACACAATAAATCAATAACTATCATTGTACTATAAGCAGCTACCAATAAAATTTGTATATTTAATAAAAGAACTATAAAATTTACTATCTTAATTGATCATAAGACTCATATCTATCACTGTACATATTCTCTTGTGCTCTTTTTCGCCCCACCATATCTTACTATATTCAATTCTCAATCCATATCAAGTGAGAAACTCCTTTTGCACATCAATTGGGTAGATTTCGGGTCAAATCTTCAATACAGGTCACAATTGGACTGCTATGAATTTGCGAGATGCCTGTGAGTGCCTTGATAAGTTAGTATGTTGTCTGCAACTGTGTTCATTCATGAAACTTTTGATTTCAATTCTTTTTTTTATTTTTAACAGGAGAGGCAAACAGCATCTAAGTACATTCATATGTCTCCTTATATTGACAATAAACTCGGATACGTTTGGATTCATTCTTTGCAAATTCATAATCAAACTTTTTCGTCATAGAATAGTATTGCAAAGCTAGTCTCAATTCAATTACACTTTCAAATTGTTATCCCTTTTCAGTTAATGTCATGTGCCACCATTGAGAAATGATGGAAGTGTTGTTGAGAATATCATCAGCTCTCATTACATTCTCACCAGACGGGCAATCATTTTAGATTCTCTCTAAATTAGAAACATTTTCTAGATGAGGATGACTATATTCTGCATTGAAAAAGGTATCACTGCTGGACAAATTAATGAACCAGTGAAATACCATATTCAAATATAATATAATATTATTTTTTAATATTTTAAATTAACAGCTTCTTATGTAAACTAACAGATAACTATGAACGTTAACTAACTAGGAGTAAAATTAACTTGTTTCGGTAAAATTTAACATAGAGCAGTGGAATTTAACAGACTATACGCATAGTTAACACGCTGGAGGAAAGTTAACAACTTCTTAAAAAACTAACATGTTCATGTGAAAGTTAACATGTTCGTGTGAAAGTTAACATATCTCTTTGAAACTTAACATTTTATAGGAAGAGTTAACATCTAACCATTAAAGATAACAATTATGTTCGCCTGTGCATTGAAACCTGAAATCACAAAGCTTACATCACACAAAGCACAGTTTTAAAAAAAGTTTATTGATTACTTACATTTCAGTAAGAACTTTCTGATTTTTTCAGAAGTATAACTATTTATATTAACAACAACTTACATGTGAATCTCTGCACAACCAATATTTTGATTGTGCTCCAACATGCACTTCAAATCATCTTCATTATCAACTGAAAAACTCAGGTTCGGGTGCCTCTTAGATTTATATATCAATGATAAAGCATCTTGAGGTACTTTCGGTTTTTCAGACACATCAAATTTCAGTTCAAAACACCTTGTTGTAGAATTTAGCATCAAGAATATAGCATTCTCGCCTAATGAGACCATGCAAATCAAGTCTTTGGCGGTCATTGGGGGTTGTTGAAAGTTCTGAGGACAGTTATGAGGAGTAATTGAGGGAATTTTTAGGGTATAAGGGGTTGTTGAAAGTTGAAGAATAAAAACATTAATATCATAAATGAGAGAGTGAGAGATAAAACTATAAAATATATAACTCATGATGAGTTAGACCAGTAATGAAGGGAACTCGCGTTTTTTTCCTCCATTTTCGCCGTCGAATCACATTAATTGCGATGGCAGATATCACGGCTCCATGGTGAAGGAGACGGTTTCCTGGGTGAGAGAAGAGGGCATTTTCGGTAGACTTGTGAAAATACATAGAATACATGTATAAAGTGGACTTTTGGGGTTGGGTCACACTTTTTAGGCTCTTTTGGAGCTAAAGAGTAAGGAAAAAAGTTGATGGGGCTAAGCCACATCAGTTTCTTTATTTGGGGCCTTGAAACATTTTTCCCTTCTAATTTTATTGTCAATCATTTTGCATTTTGAGTGACAACATAAAATCTTATTAAGAAAATCACACCATTTAATGAGATGATCAAATGATGAGCTTGATGCAGATATCATTTTAATTACTGATATCCTAAATGATCTTTTGATGCTGAGATAATCTAGAAATTCAATACAATCATTGTGATTTCTTTCTTTACAGAGCGAAATACAATAATCTCTTCAGTTTTTTTTAGTATCAGTCCCTTAATTCTTTAATATCATGAATTAGTCCCTTATAAATAATAAAAGTTATTTTTTAGGTTTTCTAGTTTTTGTATCTTGCTACATCTATTCTTTAACTGGAGAGCTATTTTTGAACCAACTTAAAAGAATTGTGAGACCTCATCAATTTCTGTGATTTGAGGGAGTAATTTCAAAGATTTTAGGGGAAAATAAGAATCTCTGTAAATCCTATTGAGGGGTATAAATAAATAACGCATTTGCAGAGTGTTAATCCTATGGTAGGGTGTAACACTTTCCCTCGTTGCATAATATTAGAAATGATTATACTCATGTGCCTGCTAAGATCGAAACCGTTAACATGTTGCTTATATTGATGTGCGCCATTAGATTTAGTGATATACAGAAACTCTCATGCTTATATGGTAAGTTGTAGATTTTTATATCCTAGATTTAATAAATCGTCATTTCTAAACTTCATATGAGGGAAACAAAAGCATTTCTAATAAATTATTAAAAATCTAACTGTTAACTCAGGTTGTCAATATTCTGCAGTGTCTCCCACGTGACCAATTTTATAATTTGCTTTGAAGCAAACACCACAAATAGCTCCAACTTCGCAAAATTGACTATAGAATACAGCATAACTGGGGGCAAAAAAAAATTTGTTCTATAAACGTTAAATGCTTTAGTCATATACAATTTAAACAGTATCGGAAATTATCATAATAATGCATTAATAAAAAAACAACATAACCATTTGCGTATCATCATCGTCACTATTATCACCATCTTCTCTGTTCCCACTTTCTTCTTTACTTTAGTTGATTCATGTATTAATAAGAATCGTGTAAGTTTGAATGTAGTGGATAGAATATATGACATGAACTGTTACGTGGCTAAGATGGCCATGCCATTTCTCCTCTCCTTGTATCCTAAATTCAAAAGTCGGGCTTCTACTGATGAAAATTTTCTGCTCTGCTCAAGAAGTAATCGCCAACGCTCAGAAATAAATGTTTCCCCACTTCAATCTCAACCGCAGGATGATCCACGATGCAATTTACTTTGATCTGCAAAAGTCCAAACAAAAACACTACTGCCGGTTAAGACGAAAGGATGAGAGAAGCAGTCGAGCAACAAAAAGTAAAATCATGTCAGTGAACTAGAAAAGAAAACATTATCTGCGGCGCAAACCTTGCCGTTTCCAACTTGAAACTTTGATTTCAGTTTCAAAAGATCCCTAGATAACAAGTACGTTTCCAAATCTTCAGCCAGCTTTTTGTTCCCTGAAATAACGATGCGTGATGGTGTCAGAAGAAAAAATGAATGCAGCGTAATGTACAAACTTCTGTGGAGAAGACAAACCATTATATAAATCAAGAATGGCATCAGAAACAAACACTGGAGCAGGCCTTGCTATGTTGATAGAAAATGAAAGTCCTGATACTCCCTGAAACTCCTCACCGCACAATACAACCTACAAGTTTTTTTATAATATAAGCAGTGCAGAATTTAACCTACAGATATCACATAAAATATCAGACACAGTGCAAATTGGCATTTCCAAGGCCTGGCTTGGATAGAGGAGGGTTTTTTTTTCTTTTTCTTTTTTGTTTGTTTGTTTGTGGGGGGGGGGGGGGGGGGGGGCATCGAACTAACCACAAGGAGAGAAAGGAGAGGGAGGGAGTGTGAAGTAACAAACTGTGTTTGGATAGACAACTTATGAATGGAGAGGGAGAGAGTGTGATGGAAATAATTTGTGTTTGTTTAGAGTAGAAAATAGAAAGAGAATGGAACCAATCCGTCCACTTTAGGAGGTATCTTATCCACAACATGTGTTTGTTTAGAGTAGAAAATAGGAAGAGAATACAACCAATTCCATATGTAAGCACAACATGTGTTAGTTGTTCAGTCTGAGAGCTTGAATTACTTGAACTGCAGCATCTTTCTTAAGAGGTATCTTATCCACTATATTTTTTAATTGTTTCATAAGTTGGTTTGATATTTTGTATTTGGATTCTATTATGAATATCTTTGAATGAAAGGAGCAAAGTTGACCCACGTGATACTGCGACACTCGGGTGAAAGATTAAAAAATGGTTAATGCAATTGATTTAAAGATAACTCTATACTTCAACTAATCGCTTAGGAACAAATTAATTTGGGGAGTATTTTGAGTTTAAGAGTGAGTTCGGATGTGGGCGCATTTAAAAACAGATGAGAGCAAAACTTTGGGTTTATAGCCAAAAAATCCATTCCCGTTCATGAATCACGACATAGTGAAAAAGACCAGAAAATTAATAATTTAAGCATTTAATTAAAAAACATACCAAGTATATATAAACACTTAGAACCATAGACATGAGGAACATGCGACACTATAGCGAACCACGATCAGGACTCGATTGCCCCGGAACTCAATTGCCCCGGAACGTGGTATACTAGCAACTTGGAGCCGATTTAGAACTCTAATTTAGTTAATATTTTGGGGAACAAAACATTTACAAGAAGAAAAAACAAAAAGTGTCCACTAACCGCAACTAGAGAATTCTTTTACCATTATTGATCCTTGAATTTAACTTTTGCAAAAAATTGTACGTTAAGACACTCATAATCCCACATATAACACAGAACCTAAAATGTACCACATTTCCTAGTGTACTATATAAGCCTGCCCCCTCATACCCAAATTCTAAATAAGTGGCGTACCACACTCCTTTCCTATTCCGTGAACCAGAACAAACCGAGTTCTATGCAGCTATGCTTAGAACAAGATTATAACATGTTATAACAAAAAATAGAAACTTACACTGCATACAAAATGCTACAATAAAAAGTGGGTTTAACATTAATTTGGTGTAGTATCATGGGTCTAAGGCTGATTTTGGATGTGTAGGTTTAGAAATAATGAGAACATTGGATTTATAGGTCAATACCGTTTTCCAAAGTGGGTAATTTTAAAATTAAATGGGGATTAAACTTTGGGTCCTTAGTTAAAAAAATCTTTACACAGTTCGCAATGTTGATTATTATGAAAAAAGCAAAAGAAGTAATGGGTTAAGCACTTAATTTAAAAATACACAGAATATAACCATAAGAACGAAAAGATTGCATGATACGGAGAAATACAACAAATTAGACAGTATACGAAACCGCTGAAACTTGAAGAGGGTTCAAAATTAATCTAGTGGGGCAGTACTTTGGGCCTATGAGTGATTACAGAAGCGGATAGATTTAAAAATAAATAAGGTAAAGCTCTAGGTTCATAAACCCAAAAAAACCCTCTTTGGAATTGTGGCATTAAACATAAATTGGGGAAAAAATTTTAGTTTATAAGGGGCAAAAACCTATATACAGTTCGCGATAATGGAACATTAGTATGAAAATGCCAAAAATATATTTTGAGCATTTTATTTGAAAATAAACGTACACCTAACCATTTAGGTAGAGTGCAATGGTGTAAAAGTTGTTGCCTTCTTGTTTTGATGATGTTTAACAAACAATTTACTTCTAATGTTGTTTGTTATTTATTGTAGACAAACAACAAGTTGGAAGTTGGATGGATTGTGCCATAACGATCATATCAAATGGAGGTTGGCGGATATAGTGATTGAAGCAATACAATTCAAGTTTAAGATCCAAATTCAAGCTTCATCCACAAGATTACCAAGTCAAGCTATTGAAGATCAAGATCAAACTTGGGTAATTTAGTTTAGAATTTATATTATGTGTGTTAGTACCTTAAGCTCAATCATATATACACACACACATTTTAGTTTTGGTTTCTATGTATATATATAGTTATATATATACGTACATGATTTTATAGTTTTCATGTTTATAAATATGAAATTATATTTTTTTCATATTTATTATTGTGTTTTGGTTTAGCTACATAGATATGAAACAACAAACAAATTTATTTACATTTTTATTTGTTTCATATTCTATTATGTTTCAGAATATGTTTGCAAAATATACAATTTTGTGAAAATATTATTTTCTTGGTTTATGAAGTTAATAACAATCATATTCATCTTTTATTAAGCCTATATAATCATTTTGTAATGTTTCAAAACATGGTTAAGCTAAAATGTCAAAACTCATATGTTTACATTTTCATGTTCTGGACTATTTTGCAAAATGATGATATTTTTCACTTGGGAGGTCCTTTCTAAAAATCAGTTTTTGTAGCATGTGTATTATCATGTCTACAATCATTTTTCAAAGTTTTATATTTTTTAAAATTTATTTGATATTTTTAAATAGGGTTTTAAAATCATCAAACTGCTTCTAAACCTGTTATTTCATATATTTGTTTGCGGTCAACCGCCACGGTCGACCGCGCCTGTGTTTTTTCCTTAGGAGCCAGCAAGAACTTTTGCGGTCGACCGTGACGTCGACCGTCTTCTCGGGAACTCCTGCGGTCGACCGCTACGGTCGACCGTAGCATTTTTTGATCGTTTTCTCTGTTTTGATGACCTTCGCGGTCGACCGCCGATCGCCCAACGGTCATATTTTGTACAGAATCAGATTTCTGATTCGTTGGGGTTTCTGATCTTTTGTTTGGGGTTTCTGCTGTTGGTTTCTCTTCCTATATAAACCCCTCAAACCCCCTTCTACCAGTAACAACAATGAGAGTATTTTAAACAAATTTAAAAAAGTTTTGGCAAGGGTTTATGGTTGGTTTAAATTTGTTTAAAAAGCTTTTAAGCATTTGAGAGTTTGATTTTGTGAAAACAATTTCACAAGAGCTTGATGAGATCATCAATTGAAGTTTGGGCATTCAACTCATCTCACTCTCACTCTTGATCTATAGAGAAGTTTTCCTAAACTCATTCTAGCTATTTATTGTTTTGATTCTAATTTTCATAAGCTAGATTTATTTGAGTTTAGTTTGTTTTATTGTATCTCTTTTTTTACACACAACCATTAAGCTTATTGTATTTCATACATAATATAATTTGGGTTGTGGGGAGTATAACTTAGAGATTGAGCCTACATTGTGTTCTCATCTATTGTAGAAAACAAATTATTTGTATTTGTGAGCTTCATTGTGAGGATACACTTTGTAATACACTTGTACACCGAGAGGAGAGGTTGGTGAGAGACGGGGTTGAATCCAAGAGGAGTGGCATCGGTTGACGAACCTAGGGAGAGGTCGCACCCGAACACTTGAGGAGGAGGACACGGACTAGGCCAATACTTAGAGGGTGTAGAATGTGATTACAATTGTGTAGTTGTAAAGTTTTCAGTTAGCTAGAAAATCGAGTGTAAAGTGTAAACGTTGTTCGGGTAAGCGTAGAAAACCCGATTGTGATAGTGGATTTCTCCCCGGGAGTGGAGAACGGAGACGTAGGACGGAAGGTCCGAACTCCGTGATCATATTGTGTGTTTGCATTGTTTATTTACACTATCACTCTTATCTTGTTTATGTTTATTTCATCCTTGTGTTAGTTTATATATCCTTACATATATTTCATCATATACCTCTTTGCTAGGATATATCTCTTTGTTCATATTGCATATTCTTGCTCATATCATATTGTATATCTATCTTGTAAGAATAATATTTGAATTAGTTTTAATTGGCATAAAATCGGATTAGATTAGAGCATAAGACCCTAATCCCCCCCCCCCCTCCCCCCTCTAGGGTCTAACAAAAGTGATTTTGGTAAGTGATCGGGCTTAAAAATAAATAAAGATAAAATTTTGGGTTTATAGGTAAAGAAATCCTCTATACTTTTCTTATTATAATAACTATATACTAAAGGAAATGGGAGATACTATTCACGAGCTCCCATTAACTTTAGTATATGTATAGAAAAAGGATATTTATTTTAGATTGAAGTGTTTGTTCTTTTCGATAGAATAAATGAGATTCACTTATGTATCATGACCCCAACCCCCCCCCCCCAANCCAACCCCACCCCAAAAAAAAGGAAAAACGAGCCAACAAACCTAAAGGATAAAAAGGGGAAAACCCCTCCTGGCTCGGCCACCGCATACATCTATAAAAACATATTACGCATACATCTATATAAACATATTACTTATTACTTAAGCAAAGAAATAAAACTTGAGTGCACAAGGAGACAAGGCTTCCTTTCTTCTATCAAAGCAAACAAACACCCATCTAATTTTATTAATCAGCTTTCACATTTTCAGATTAACTAGAATCCCAGGTATGCTGCCTATTAAAACCCTAAATGGAGTATTTTCAACTTGTAGGTTAGAGGAAGTTCTATATAGAGAAAAAGAACCCACTGATATCAAACATTTTCAGTATAAAAGATGGGGTTTTGGCACATTGCTTACAGCATAATCAGGAGCCATAGTATGCTGAAGCAAAGGAGATCCTAGTGCATCCCTGATGTATTGCTCCTGAACAAATAATATCAGAAGGTTAGAAAAAACTTGTCTACATTTCAGTCACAAACTATAGAAACTATACCTGTGATTTCACAATATTCGTCAAAACATGCTTGTCATCGTTCAAAGGTTCATAATAAACCTCAACAATATCAGTAGGTTCCAGGCCAGCTTTCTTGCGCAATTTCTGGATTCTGTTGATGACCTGAAATAGAAGATTGGCCTTAATCACGAATAACTATTAACAGTCTGAAAAGAAGCATGAACATTAACAGGTATTCCCTTAGATAAATATAAAATAACAGTAAGAAAGACAATGCATGTATCAGTTTGCTACATGCCCACTTGCCAATGCATTTAACTTCTATTTACTGTCATCAACCATGGGGATACGACAACAATTATCCTTTTTTAAATGATTGAACCAGAAACATCATCCTAGGATACCTTGTTGAAATAAATAAAAGCCTATAATTAAACATGTAGGACGCACATAAAATCTGATGTCTACACCAAAGAAACCTCTAAGATGATTTGAGTGAGAACATCGGTAAGTGGATATAATTCCAGAACCCGTACATAGTGACTGGGATATTTCACATTGACAAGTTTAATCAATATGCTATTGTAACAGTACTTTCAAACAATTCAGAAGAGGGGCAAGAAAAGTTTAAATCATTTCTTTTTAGTTTCATGACTATAAAGCTTATGGCTCAACAAAGGAAATAGTGGATTTGCAATTTGAAAAGTTTATCACTCAATTTGGACAGGAAGGATTTAACCCAAATCCTTCTAAAAGAAGCCTACTTCGATGATTTTTAGGATTAATCGCTGAATAATTTATAGATTAAGAGGTGCAGGTTGGACTGTAAGTTTGAAAGGGCACCGGGTTATAATGACCTAAATATGACCCTTAAATAAGAGGAGCACAAAAACCATATTATTTGAAAATGTTTTTTTAACATAGTTCAGGATCAGCATGTTAGGAAATATAAACCTTTAAGATATCATATGGAATCATGGTTTGACTGTTAGGTGCCATTTCGCCAGGGATGAAGATATAAGGGTCAACGAGAATGATTAACTTAGTTAACTCAACATGAGGGGTTAAAAATAATTTAATTCCATTTGGATCAGATAGTTAAACTTGATGGGTTCACTTTTTGTGCTTGGCAAATAAAAGAAGAGTTAAGCAGGTTAAACCCTCAAAACTTTTTTAAAAGACCAACTTTAATCGTATCAAAAGTAAGAGATTTAATAAAAAATTATTGCATTGAGATAAAATTCAATTAGAATTTGCAATCATTTGAACTATAAAAAATATTACTATCTCTGTATTTGTTAAATAAATGATTGCAGAAAGGCTAATAAAAAACAATTTAAATTAGAAAAATAATAACTTGAGTTTAAATCAAGGTTTTAAATGTCGGATGTCAGGTTCATGTCGGACGACTAAAATTCATGTCGGATAACAAAAATCGGGGATATGTCGAGAGACATGAAAAAAATATCGAATTGCTATATCGGATGGTGTGCATATGTGTAATATAAATATCATAAATAAAATATAAAAAGACTTAAAAAATTCTATTGTCTAAACATATAAAAAAAATAAATAAATTATGATGCTTATGGTTGATGTTGAAGGAAAAAGGTGAGAAAAAAGGACTCTGATATTAGCGGTTAAGAAGAGAGAAGATCGCTCAATATTAATATCGAAGGAATAGCTCGAAGAAGAGACCGATGAGATGTCGAAGGAGAGACGGAAGATGAGCGACGGATATTACTTTGGTCTTTTTTTTTCTTTCCCTTAACTTATCGGTCTGTCTTTAGAAGTAATATTAAGAAAATCAAGAATTTAAACCTAAACCTATTTAGATAAACACAGTGGTGGTAAACGATCGAATCGAATCGAATACTAAGGTGTTTGTATTTATATTTGTTTCAAATTATCGAATTCGAATGCGGACTCTAATATTCATATATGAAGTTTTTCGAATTCGAACTCGAATACTTAAATTATCGAATTCGAATGCGGACTCTAATATTCATATATGAAGTTTTTCGAATTCGAACTCGAATACTTGGTAGTTGATAAATATTCATGAATATTAATATTCATATATGAAGTTTTTCGAATTCGAACTCGAATACTTGGTAGTTGATAAATATTCATGAATATTCACGAATACGTAATGAATATTAAGGTATATTTATTCTGCTAAAGAATTTAATTTTTAAATAGTATTCAAATTCATGGTGTATGTTATCTTTTTGCATTAGTTATAGACCAACTTACTAAGCACATTCAGGATAAAATTTCATAGTGTGTTATTTGTTGATAATATAGTATTAGTTGAAACTAGAAAAGACATTATTGCTAAAGTAGAAAAATAGAGACAAGCTCTTGAGTCTAAAAGTTTTAAAATTAGTAGAACAAAAACAGAATATATAGAATGCATTTTTAATAAAAATAGGAAAGAAAGCCTATGGTACATATTGATGGCCAAGAAATACCTAAAACTAATCATTTTCTCTATTTAGGATCTATCATTAGACAAGATGGTGAGATATAAGATGATGTTGTGCATTGAATCAAATCAGGATGGTTAAAATGGAGGAGTGCTTCGGGAGTCTTATGTGATCGTACAATATCAATGAAACTAAGGGTGTGTTTGTGAACTTGAATTTGGGTCTGGATTTAAAATCCAGGGTATTTTAAATCCAAATATCTAGATTAGGTTCTGATTTAGGCCTAGATTTTGAATCAATTGATTTAACAAAGAGGAATTTGAAAGCCCAAAACAAGTTATTTCAAATCCCACCCCAGCCTTTGTTATTTATCAAATCCCGACCCGATCCTCTCTTTCTTTTCAAGTCACGATCCCCTCTCTCTCTGGTTTCGATCTCTCTCTCCCCCTACCCCCGCTCTCCCCCTCTCCCCCTGCCTCTCTCTGGTTTCAAGTCTCGATCCTCTCTCTCTGTGGTTTCGCTCACAGGTAAAGTCTCTCTCCACCCCCCACCCCCCGCCTCTCCCCCTACAGTCGGAACTTTAGATCTGATCTTGTAAGTAAACCCCTTTACTTCGAACTAGGGCTTTTGCCTTCGGATTTCACTTTTTCCTGTTTCTTTGATTATTTTCTTCTACGCAGATGCAAAATTCGTAATAAAAATGACATTTTGCCTTGTTTTGTTCGATCAAGGCATGAATTTTTTAGAGAATTACATAACCCTTCAACATTCAGGCTCTAAGCACTAAAAATCTATGAAATTTGTAGATTAGAAATGGTTTTAGTTAATAGTTATTTCTTGCCGAATTATATATGCAGCTTGAAAGTTATTTGTTGACATTATAGCTTGTTGTTTTTTGCTGTTATGATTGGCTGAATACTACTTGTTTAGGTCAATTTATACCCAAATAAAGATCGAAGTCGAACTAGTAGGTTTTCCCCCTATTTGGATAATGGAAGCTAGTGACGTGTCATGGATACTTTGAACCATAAGATTTGGAAGGTTACGATATCTGTAGTTTATTTTTTGTTCTATTTTATTTTTTAAAGTTGGGTCTTGTTTTTAAAAGAGTCAATTGTCTTGTCTGCAAAATGCAAGCCATTCAACATTTTAGCTAAATATTGATATTCTGTGACAAAGAGTTGCCCATTCTTTGAGGCAAAAAATGCCTTTTGAACCAAGATATTTCTTAGTCTACCCTGGCATTCTTGTTTCGTTGCTTATGAACTTGACCTTCAGGGAGTATTATCTCATCCTTGAACAATTTGAATTTATTTTAATGGATTTACATTGTCATTCCCATTTATTTTTACACTTAATGACCTATGCTTGTATTCCTTTTCTCATGGATATGTATAGGTAAGTTCTGTATCTTGCGCATATGAGCATGTGAACATGCAATCTCTCCATGCTTCCATAATTCAAAGTACATGCATCTTGCTTGTTCCGTGCATGATTCATTTGGATTTCATTTAGTTGGATATTCTCTAAGTATCTAACTTACATTTGGCTAACAATTAGAGCACTATTCTGGTATCAACTTCTCTGAAATAACACAGAAAAGTATATAATTTTTATGTTACGTTGTGATCGATAGGTAAATCTATTGGTCGTTGGTTATGGAAATGATCAATTTGTGACTTAAAATTTTTTAGCTATTCTCTGCACATACATTATTGTGTTTGATATTCTTTCGGGTTAACTGAAAGTCACACCATCTTCATTATGGACATATAACAAAAGAGCTCATACGAGGAAGCCTCTTCAAGTATTTAGTTTATTTGGAGGAAAGAAGGAGAAGAGTGAGAACAGTGACGATACAGAGGAAGCCTCTTCAAGTATTTAGTTTATTTGGAGGAAAGAAGGAGAAGAGTGAGAACAGTGACGATACACCACAAAAGGTAAGGAGACAGACCTTTCTTTGGAGGAAAGAAGGAGAAGAGTGAGAACAGTGACGATACACCACAAAAGGTAAGGAGACAGACCTTTCATTTCCTTTTCTCCCTCGGCCAAAAATTGAACTCTGTATTATGCTTGCGTGCTATTGTTGAAATTTGATCTTATTGCTATTGTTTCAGTGAAATTGTAAACTGTTACATGAGCCTAAACCCAATCGTACTAAAATTTTTATCAGTTACAACAATGTCAACAAATAATACTTGTTTATTACTGTCTAAATCGACAACCTTCATCATAGATGACCTCATACTTGTTTACACTTATTACATCCTTTAGCTGTAATTTTCCTGGGGAAAATTTAAGTGAAGGATGTGAAAGGCAATAATTTAAACTTATTACTGATTACCCTCTATCAAAGTTGCCTCATTACAATTATTATAGTTAACATTGCGCAGGAAATTTAAGAAGTTATATCTTAAAGATCGAAACTGCTTTCACAAAACACAACATGGTCATTTTATACTCCCTCAAGTTATACTCCCTCAAGTTATATTCCCTGTAATCGCTAACTAAAATTAATGCCAGCCATTTTCTTAAATCTTACTCTTAGCCTCAAATTGTTCTCTTTCCTAGAGGATGTCTATACCAATATAGCTTTCTCAGCCTCTATGTTTCAGCGTACATGCTTTGACTGTTTAATTCGAGTATCTGAACGTATGTCTGAATGTGTTGAGTTTTGAGATCCGAAGTACATGCTTTGACTGTTTAATTTTGGGGGGCTTGCATTTCCTTCAGTTTATGCTCTTCCTTTGGTTCATGTATGATGCTAGATAGATTTGAGTGACTAAGTCTCATGTATGATATTAGGCTGAGTTGTAAAGTGTGCGCAAATGTAGTTCTCATGTTTGTTATTAGTTTGTGTATCATCTAGTTTATTGATTTCCCTAACCAATACTCTCACAGGTCTCCATATGCTTTTATGCTTATCTTATTCAGTCTCACTTATCCGACATTTTTGTTTAATTTGTTAGCTTGTTAGCTTGATTAAAAAAATTTATTGATCTGCTCATTTTCTTTGAAGGTTTTGGGCTCATATCGTGATGGCATATGAATTACTCTTTTGTTGTTGCGGATAGGGTTTATCATACAAGCACTTCTGAATTCTCAGTTGTAATTTCTTTACATCAAGAATACTTCTCTTCTCACATGCTATTCAGTTTGCAACTCTTTGTATTTTTTCTTATTAACATTTCTCTTGGTATATCAAAGACCAAATTGACTATGTAATTGTCAGTTGTAAATGCATTTGAGAAGATAATGGAATTGTTACTTATTTGCTCTGATATCAACTTATTCTCACTTTAAATATGTATGAAATATGAAGCAAGTCTCAAGTGTTTTCCAGCCTGGATATCTATGAAATATGCAATGGTAATGTATTATTTAGATGTTTTTTGTAAGATACTTGATATGTTTGTAGATTTTTCTTTATTTTTATTCTGTTGAAACTCTTGCAAGTTATGGTGGGCAATGAATTTGAAAACTTAGCAAATGTACCTATCATCGCCAAAATTACCTAAATTTGTGTTTTTTTGTTATTATTTTACACATCTCCATTGCATTTGATATAAACAAGATGTGTTAAGAGAATAAATTTTCATCAATTTTAAATTCAAATTCATGTATAATAAAATACCCAAACACTAGATTTTGAAATCACAGATTTCAAATCCTTTCATTTAATAAAGATATCCAAATAAAAGATTTCTTAAATCATGGATTTCAAATCCTAAATTTAAAATCCCTTGATTTTAAATCAACTTCCCAAATCCAAATCAAAGTTCCCAAACGCAGCCTAAAGAAAAAATTCTATAAGACAGTTATAAGACCAACTATACCTAATAGGTCAGAATGTTAGGCAATTAAAAAATAACATGTTCAAAAAATGAGTGTAGCAAAAATAAAAATGTTGTGATGGTCTTGTGGGTATACATTAAAAGATATGATAAGAATTGAATGCTTCCGTAATAAATTAAAGGTTGCGCTTATTGAAGATAAAATGAGAGAGAATAGATTAAAATGGTTTGGTCACGTACAAAGGAGACCCCTTAGTGCACCGATTAGAAAAAATGATAATATAAGAGTTAACGGGACTAGATCTAGAGGTCGATCTAGAATGACTTGGTCAGAAAAAATTAAGAATAAGAAGTATATAATTAAGACTAAAGTAACGGAGGAAATAACCCGCAACAGAACAGAATGAAAAAATATGATTCATGTAGTCAACCCCAAATATTTAGAATAAATGCTTGGTTGTTATTGTTGTTGTTATTCAAATTCATAAGTAAAACTTATTCCTTTATAATATAAGATGTATATATATTTCAATCAAAATTTTTGTTAGAAAACAGATTTAAGTTTATTTAAGTCTTAAAATCAGTACATAAAAATTGAGTAGAAATTATAAGTGGGTTAAAAATATGACATCACATGTGCAATAATGCAAATAATAAGTGATCAAACTTTAAATGAATATTTGATAGACAAACGAATCGATTACATCTAGTTAAATTCTATTTGTTAGTAAAGTCGAATACTAAAAAATATTTGCTTAGTGGTAAATGAATTACCGAATTGAATATGACCGAATAGTTACTCGAACTATCGAACTATTTGTTAATTATTTGGTTCATTTCCACCCCTCATAACAAAAAAACAGCTAATTTTTCAGACTGAAAAACCGGCCGACATAACCGACATATCACCCGATATATCCGCCAAACATGTCCCCCGATATATCCGACATGACCCTGAAAACGTAATACGCATTGAAAAACTCCATATCATGTCGATTGGCCCTAAATCCGACATGTCGGACATGTCGGCCGACATTTAAAACACTGGTTTAAATAGGGATAAAACAATAGCAATTCTTATTGTAAAATTAATTTATCACTTCGGTATGAAATTAAATGATAAAGAGGTAAAATGATCTAACAAAAATTTAAAAGGAATTTAATTTTTCATTAAAATGAGAATTATCATAAATAAATAAATAAATAATAAAATTTACATTGTACAAATCACAGATAATTAAGATTTATATGAATTTCTTAAATAAGGTATAGTCGATAGCAAATTTCACTATTTATCTTTTCTTGTATCTTCTTTTACAAAAGGATGCAATTTAACAGTACTGTTAGTTGCTATAGATGTTTTAATACGGTAACGGTAGATAAATTTAAAACATCTTGTTGCTATGGATAACCTATTGAAATATTAAACAAGCTAGTTAACTATGTGAACATTGAAATATTAAAAATTAAAATTACACCCACTACCCTTCACAGGGAGGCAGGTTAAATGTAAATGGTCTCCCCTGCAGAATTGTAACCCTGTCGAAACTACAGATGAAGTGATGTTAACCGCTTATAAAGAATTAACAAATCCTTCATCCATAAATAGGCGTTTGGTGGGTTAGTGAAGGGTTAAACCCCTTTTAACTCCTCCACTAACCCTTTGCCAAACGCAGCCTTAACTGTTAACACATTCTAACACATTCTAGAGTGTAGACAATAGGTCTTAAGAGATTCAAGACTCAAAATCATGTATGCCTACAGAGATGTTTTGTACAAAATGTAGTATTAGTTAGGAATTAGAAGCTGACTCAAAATTAGATATCAGTTATTGAGCATCTCAGTTTTTCATATGATGACAAGAAACCAAGATTACTGCCGAATATTGTCTCCTAGCGAAAAAAGATGCAATTAAACCATGAAGGATCAACACTTCAATAATTCAGAAGAAGTAATTTCTCCTGTTTGCGAGGAGATAGACTTATAAAGGAGGCAAGCGGAATCTAAGCCAACAGCAAAGTGGTGACTAGGAAAAATAACAAGTTCTGAGGTTTGATTAAAGCTGGATGTTTATATTTTAACTACTATTTCTTGTCAATTGTTATATATATTTAAAGATAGCTCACCATGTATGAGTAATAACACAATTTTGGCATATATGCTCATCTAGAATTTGCAATCCTTATGCGGAGAAGCTTGTTCAGTAGGAATAAAAGACAACAAAACCAAAAGAATTCTATTATGTGAACAAGAAGGTTGTTTTGCAGCTGGTCATAGAATAAAAATAAATCAAATTACAAGATAACTAATAGATGCTTTCCAAAAAAAATTCACCAATTACCTCACGAGCAATTCCAGACTCATACAGTGATTCATCAGCTCGCAAATCCAAGATCACCAAGACATCACCTAATCAGGCAACATAATATGATGGCTCCACATAGTTCAATTCAAAATATTTCTTAAAGATATACTAATATGATCCATACCATCTCCTGCAGCATCTATTTCTTTTTCTGTAACATCAGCAGGACGTTTGAACTCCCGCAAGACCTGGAAGCAAGATTGAAGACCAACTGCTTTGTGAATACTTAACAACAGATCTTTAAACATCAGTGAAAACAGATCACACTCCTATACAAATATTGTCCTTTCCCTAGTCCTGAGAATATGGCCTTATAAAACTCACCATGTTGCTAGCTAAAATGTACCTGATACTGTCAGGGGATGGAATAATATGGTCTCACATTTGTTTGTGTATAACAGATGTAACATGACATGTACACAAGCATGTCTCGGCAGGATAACAATGTGGAGATGATGTAGGTTGTTTTCAAAAAAACTTCAGAAAGTCCTTTGCGTGTGCTGAAATCATCTATCATAAGATTTTAGTAAAATTCATCATGCAACCTCTTGATGGATTAGTAGCTGAAATCTTTGCCTTCACATAATATCAATGATCCACACAGGTTCAGTGCCACTTAGCAGCAGTGAAGCGCATGATTTCCTGCGATTTGTGCAAGATGCAAGGAATTGATATAAATGGAATACATGACACTGTAAACCGTCCCAATTAGCTCAGGCCACCTCCCTTAATATACCCAACTAGGGTTATGCCCTTGCTAATTCCACTGGGTTTATATATGTAGCGGCTACTCTGGATCTTCAGGTGGGAATAACTCTGACAGAAACATCCAGAAATCAATACTTTGCTTTGACGTATAATGGCTTCCATCCAGTATTATCAGCTTTCTATTCATTTGAATGCAAATTACAACATGCTAGCTGTTATGTTCTGAAAAATGGTCATGAACTTCTAGTGTAAACATCATCATAACATTGTGATTCATGAAACTACCATCACTCTTCATAAATGTTAATTAGTGTGATGATGATTATTATTGGTTATCATGCATGTTTGTGAATTTCACGTGCTTCGACTGATAATTGGTCATTAAAATCCAAGAACTGAAAACTAGGTCAATAACTAGAATGTAAGAGACAAAATAAAAGTACATTATCTTAGACGATACAGAAAAGACCCATAAGCACAAATCACCTTTGTGTTCCAAGGTAGATTAAAAAGGGGGCATTTCAAGGCAAAAGGAGAACTCAAAGTGGGACCACAAGGAAAAAAGACCCAAAAAATCTTCATTAAAGCTAAAAGGCCCCGATGTAGTAAAGGAGGAGCAACAAACAAAGGGAGAGAAAAAAGTGCCCACTTGATGACAAGCCATGCAGGACTGCACTCTGGGTTTCAATTGACGGCTAGGTATTCATGCTTAAGGAAGTAGAACAACAAGAGGTTTGCCCCACGATTATCACCAATAGCAAAGGGGAAAAAACATCCGCTTGTAGTAAGTGTGTTCACTGTCATCAAGGGAAACCAGCTACATGTTTATGGAGAAGAAGGAAAAAAAAGGCCCTATATATGCTTGTCACGGTTGAATATGAAGTGGAAAAGGAATGGCAGGAGAAAAGTTTGGGCAAACACGCAGTGACAATGCAATGACAAGATTCACCAAGCTATTGGTAGCTTTTGATATCAAGTGGGCTTGCATTTACTGCAGCACGCTTTCAGAGCGTGGGGATAATTTTGAAATTTGTTAGATACTTTTGGTCAAAGCTTGCTGCACCTATTGTTATTTGAGAGCTCATCTACTAAGCAAGTGCACAAGCAATTTGATATCAGCCAGAAGGGAGGGCGATAGCAATCTCCAATGTTGATCAACTTAGTGGTGAAAGCTCCCTGTGGAACAATGTTTATCAATTCCATAATGCTTTCAATGACATTAAGACTGTCAACATTCCAATGAGGAGCTATAAGACAATGGGGCTGAGAATGTTGTCCAGACACAAACGATCATTCTAGTCTTAAGCTTATAGTTAAAGCTCTGACACTAAACTCCACTTGAAAGACTTAAATAGTTGAAGAATTGATGTTGGGTAACATGTTCACGCTAGGCTTTTTTAAAACTTTAAATTTACCTTTTTTTCTTTTACAACTTAAGCAGTTGAACAATTATAAATGAACATGTAGGCCATGAAGATCACAGTTAACAATGACAATGGCCCAATCATATACTGAGATGGATTATGGCTTGATTTTACTCCAGACAGTTATTTAATGATGTCATCTTAGAGAACAATTTTTTTTAATGACATAGGAAGGCATTCTAAGAGAGGCATCTAAGGAGATACTGTGTAATGATCATGTGCCATAAACTGCTTGTGTACAAAACACTCATGGAAACTTGATCCTCTTGACCAAACATTCTAGTCTTAAGGTGGTAGGAACCTTTAAATCCTAAAACTTGCTTAACTAGTAGTGTTGGTGTAAATTTGGATTTGCGCCTTAAAGACTTAAAACTTGAATAATCAATGTTGGGTAGCATGTGGATTATAGTCTTTTCTAAAATTCTAAATTAAAAGTTTTCCCTCCTCAAGTAGTTGAACTATTATACATGACCACTTAGGCCGTGGGATCACAATGAATAATGCCAATCATCAGTTGAGATGGACTGCGATTTAATTTTGCTTCAAAGAGTTACCTAGGATTTACCTTAGGAACATTTTTTATATAATATAGGAAAGGTATTCCTAAGAGAGACAATCTTAGGAAATACCATTCAATGCATTCATCATGATCATATGCCTTCACATGCTTGAGTAAAAAAAGCTAATGGAACCTTAATCCCCTTAACCATTCATCAACTGTTCGTGAAATAAATATTATTTTTAAATAATATAATCAATATAAGCTTTTTTCTACAGATAGCTTTAGGAGTGGACCATCAATTCCTTAGCCTAAACATTATGACGAGAATGGTAGGTTAACTTCTTGCCAACTGGCCATCAAGTTTCTATGGAAGGACCTGCTCTAAGTTCCTATGCAAGGACCTCCTCTTACTAATAGCTATCTTGCCAAGAAATTGGCACGACCACACGACAAAATATCATCACAATGATAGTGGGTCATACAGGTCAATTATATTCTGGAGCTTTACATGCTCTAACTGACCCAACTTTGATTGAGTAATGCATTGATAATAAGGATATGGATGATTAATAACCAGTCAAAATCATGCAGGCCATTTAATCTGGTAAGTGCTAGACAAATCTAAGTATTGACTTCAGAGACATATTTTTATCTGAACATAAAAAATATTGTAATCGTGAGCAAGAAATCCAACTCAGACAACCATATGTTTTTTAGGAACGAACTCGTGAATGAAAGAACGTTAATTTTGAAGGCTTAAAGGGAAAAAAGTTAATTCACCATTAAACTGCACTATCAATGCATATCACTACAAAAAAGGCCATTGGATTACGATTGAAGTACTGAGGCCGAACCTTGATATCAGTTGACTTCAAACAGTTCCCAGAAAAGGTAACTTCACCAGACTTCTCAAAAGCTAAGATGTCAGCTTGTGACATAGCTTTGACCTCCTTGGCAACTAATCCCATAGCCTTTCCCAATCTTTTACCAAGTACACTAAGACAAAAGGGGGGGAAAAGGTATAAACAAATACAAGAATAATATTAGGTCTAGCACAGGGCATTCAGAATATACCTAAAATCAGGCTCGGCACGCAGAGACGCGTACTTTAATAGATCACTGCATGGAACCACTGATTTTACATTAAGTTCCTCCATCACATACTGCATCAGAGAGAAGCTTATAAGGTCACAGGCAAGAGAATGTCAGCGGTGCTGAAAGTTCAAAATCGATACTGAAAATGGAAAAAAAATACAGAAAAACAACAGAAAAAGTAAATAGACGAAACATAAAACATTATCAGTCACTGGAACCAAATGAGAAGTTAAATATGGTGAACATATCAAAATACTCGACAAATGTTGATTGACAGCTGATCTGTTCGAGATATGCTTTGCCAAAAACATTTTATCTGATAGACAAAGTGAATAAACAGACGATGTTTCGTATCAAATTTCTTTATACCAAATATACTAATTGGACCATAATAGAAGATTGATCAAATTAACTATATGGATTAAAACCATAGTGTAATAGAATTTAACCTCTTTTAGTTTTCCGGCAATGTCCTCAAGAAAGCCAGCGTCAGGATGGACAACAATCATCTCCCTGAAGTTGCAAACAGAAACAGCTATAAGGAACAACAAAAATGGACAATCAGATACTCTACAATGTGTGAGGAGCATACTTAAGTGGCGTTTTGAGAGGCTTATTATGACGCTCTCGGATATTGCGAGCAAGATCAATGACAGTCATCATCCTAGTAACACTTTGTTCAATGCGCTCCTCTATCTGAAAACATTAACCATCACCATTTTAATATAAAGGACAAACGAAAGTATCAATTGGTTATAGTTTGATTCATTGAAGTTTATAAATTGTAAGCACCTTCCCAGTAGCAGAAGGGAAACTACAGTAGTGAATGCTTTCCTCAGATGAATGAAAAGCCTTTCTTAAATTTTGATAGAGAGCCTCTGTGAAGAATGGTGTAAATGGAGCCATTGCAATGCAGGTGGTTAAGAGCACCTGTAGTCAATAATGTGAATGAGTAAATATAATTCATAAATGTAACATCACCAATAAGATATTGAAGAGACAAACATGCGAAAGAAAACCAACAAAGAGGGTGTTTCATATTTGGCATGGGTGGTGTGTCATGCGAACAAGCCATCCTATGCCAGCAGCATGAATCCCGCATCGACACTGTTCAAGGGTTGGCAGGGGCATGGGCTGTTTGTTTCTCGCCCAAAAAAATGTGTCTGCATGCTTGGACCCGGCTGTCATGGCACGATACAGCCAGTGTTTTGGCCGTTCAGCGACGTCTGTGAAATAGGTTGATTTTATTTAAACCCTACACCCATTTTCTCCTATAAATATCGCATAAACCCCTCACTTCACTCCAATTCACAATATCTTCAACTATGCGAAGCTCATTCTCACAACTCGTCTCTCCCCCATGCTTAGATGTGAATGTTGTCTACTCTCTACAAGCTTATAAGGTTCCTTCAAGCTTACAACAGCAACAATTGTAAAAGCTCTCCATACTCTCTTCGCCTCTGTAAAGTTCTCTTTACTCTTTCAGTTTATATTCAGTTCTTCACAATTCTGCATAATAGAATGGACCCTTATTCATCATCTTCAGACTGCACTAATACCAATGGCAGTACACCTTACTCATCAGCTGCATATTATACTGATATAAGTAGTCATGAGGTTGCTCCCCCTAGTTCTAGGCTAAGAGGCTATTTTTGGTTCAATTCCTGAAAATGTAGTAAAAGGAATCTGGTGCAAGAAATCTTTTCCGTTGGTTTCCATACATTTATTGGACATGTTAATCTACTGTTTGTTTCGGCATGACAAGGAGGAAAGCAATTGTAGGGCGGTTGTTTATAATCTGCTGTTTGGTTCATTTACTAAAAAAAAAATAGGAAAACAAAACTAGAAAAGGAGAGAGGGAGGGGAAATGCTCAGGTGGTGTTAATTTGTCAGCTTTCTAGCCCAAATCCTCTACAAAAACAAGGAGGATTTGGCTTTTCTTAGAAATGGGTGTTTTCCCCACTTTACAGAAACCATTTCTTGAAATTTTTCTTGAAACAAACAATAGAATAGGAAATTAGCAATCCTATTTTGACACGTAGTGCACTTTTTGTTCTCTCTTTGTTTTCCATGTGTATTCCATAAATTGAACAAACCAAACAGCTCCTAATAACGTCACTTCCTCCTAGTTCTAGGCCTAATACTGTCACTTTCACGAGAAGAATGACTTCAATTATCTCCACTGGCGCCGCCTCAGACTCCATTTGCTAGCCTTGAGCCACAGTATTATGGGTACATAGACACCTGAACCACAACATGGTTCGCAAATACCTAAAACACAACATAGTTATCAGCACAATTTTTCAATGCCGAAAGGTGAAGTCAAGGGCCAAGGCAACAGGACTGCTTTAGATGTGGGGTGCAAACAGCTCGGATTTGGATCGGATATGACGCTTACCATATCCATATCTACTTGGTAGTTATGGATACGGGTATAGATATACTTCAGTAAGAAAAAGTCATAACCATATATGTTGCAATCCAAACCCATGCGTACGGATATGACAAATATGGATACGGATATGATCCAGATATACATATAAAACAGAAATTGTTCAAATATAAACACAAAATAAAATATTTCTATTTTGACATAAAGATATCTTAGAAAATTGATATAAAAGTGTAAAAAGTAAAAATAATCATGAGAAAAAGAAATTTTTGACTAAGACTTGGTAGTATTGTTGTATACTGTTACTGAATAGACCAAAAGATACATTGTTAACTAAAACATCAAAACATGGAACATGATATTGCACGTGTAATTTTTAAATGTTGTGTTATGTTATACTAAAGACTGTTATACAAAAGACTTCCATAACACAACACATGCACAAAAGTCCGGTAAGTAAAAACAAAACAAAGTTAGAAAGAAAAGAGGCAAGAGAAAATTTCATGATTCGTGAAGTGAATGGTCCGCAGCATTTCTTATTTTGATAAGAAAATTCATGATTTCCAAAGAAATTCACCGTCTTCAGAAGAATATACACTGCCTCTAGAGGAAGAGGAAACCGCCATAGAAGGGAGGATGCATAGGAGGAAGACAGCGCCAAAGGAGGAGAACACCAGCAGTTTTCAGATTTTCTCTAAGGAAGAAATTAAGTTTTCGAAAAAAAATTGTGCCTTTAGGAAATGGCACTTGCCTACTTGGGAATCGGGCTCCATACGCGACAGAATCATGTGGTGAAAGTTGCATGTCAAATTTCTCATTAAATACTCGGATATCCGAATTAGGATCAGACTTTTTCTATCAAAACTGTATCCAATTGCATATCCGCCTCTTTGTTGCATCGGCATCCAGATCCGTACGCAAACGGTTTTGGATTTTAATATCTGAATCCGCATCCATTCGAATACAGTTTCAGATCAATTAGGGTGTATTCGAACTGATCTGCATCCCTAATTATGACTCTTCGAGCCAAATATTTCAAGACTGCTTAAGATGCGCATTAAATGCTCCGAGACTCTTAAAATGTACCAAACACGAAATAAAGTAAATGACTTACACAGAGATCTACAAGTACATCCTACGTTATACATATATGTTCTTGAGTTGAACTTCAGAAAAATGACATAAATGTTATCCTAGTGTTCAGATTTGAGCATCAGTATATACCATAAAACATAACAAGAAAATATAATGTGCACCAATCAAACATATCGGCTGCTGATAAAACCATTATAACAATGCATAAGAAACTAATGATTGAAAGTCCATACATGGTAAAGTGTTGAGAGTGATGTTCTACAGTCTTCTTCCCCAGTACGTCCCTTCAGTCTCTTGCGGTTGAACCTCACATATATATTTGTAAGGTTGTCAATAAATTTCAAAAGATACGGTACCACCTACAAAAGGGGAAAGGAAAAAAATAGAGCTTCTCATAAATGTATATTATGCATAAAGAAAACATTTCAATTCAAAGGTAAATAATTCAACCGTGTATAATCGATATGCCTCCATCTCCTGGCGAACAAAGCGAACAAGGCTTCCAGTAGCAGAGTTAATCCATTGGTCAAGAACATTTGAAGAGAGTTGGAGAGCTTGGCGGTCAATAGGTATAAATGGTGCAGAGCCCTCAATCTCAAGTCTTTTTGCATTTTGAACAAGGAATCTATAGGCATTATACCAGGGAAGGAAGACATCTTTGATCTGCATGAACATAAGATCATTAAGGCCATTTCAACATAGTCAAGCAAGAAATGTATTCCTTGTTCATATTTTTGAAAAAATATAAACCAAGACGTAATGCATCATAAAAAAGAAGGCATGAATATATAATTCAATAGAAGCCAAATAATAATCAAAGAAGGTAAAACGACACTCACAACACCATATACACCATCTTTCTTGAACCTCAGAGATTCCGCACGCACAACAGGTGAATTAATTAGATATAATCGCAATGCATCCTGCACAACACAAATGAAAGATAAATCAAGCAGGCTGAAATACCATGAGGTCAGGATTAGAGTATATAAAATTTGATCCTCTAGTATGTGTATATTATGGACCACGATTGCAAAATGCCAAGAGAGCACAAGGCCAGATCTTTTTGAAGACGATAGCAACAGAAAGAAATAAAAGGAATTGATTTGTCTTGTTTAGCAGAAGCCAAAGAGCAGAGAAACTATCAACTATGCTTTATGTATTGATAACCTTTCGCATGAAAGCGATTATGCGTGTCACATCACTATGTTTCAAGATGTCCTTAAAGTTTGGGGTTGACAAATTAAAGCTTTCTTTGATCATACAAATTTATGCTGCCTTTCCTAGTAAAACATGTTTCTGCTGGAGTTTTCCCATGTGGTTTGAAGAGCCATGTGAGGAAAAGAGTTAACATTTGCTTGCCATATTTTCAGTCCAAAAATTAACTTAACTTTCCTATATTTTTTTTTCCTAATGGAAACCATGAGTCTAACAAAATCAGGCTCCAGGTTGACAGTATCTTCTCCTACTGGTAAAGATCAGGGGAGACGAATGGATTATGTCTCTTTGTTCTTCCTCAATATTATTCCTTAACCCAACTTGTTTGCAAACAACCACACATGACATACCAAAGGCTATGAGTTTAATGATGGTTTTCGCAGGGGTTTAAGAAAAAAACTGACTGCAAAACTAACATCTATAAGCATAAATGAAAAAACATCAATTGGAAAATAGTAATCATGGCATTCTACTTTACAATCACATCAGGAGAGTAGAAATACAAGCAGATGCTAATCTGTATGGAGCTAATCTCGTTAAATTTCTAGTCACAAAAAGAATGGCTTAGCATCTAATGGCAACTTACAGCACCATATTCACCTATAACTTCCATAGGTGAGGGATAGTTCTTCAACCTTTTGCTCATTTTTTTCCCATCCTCAGCCAGGACAAGACCATTACAGATCAGATTCCTGAAGGCAGGTTTTCCAAACAAAGCCGTAGAGAGCACCATAAGAGTGTAAAACCTGCAAAACCCACACAATTGAAAAATGACTATCATAAAAATATTACAAAAAGCCAAAGCTTCTGATTTTTTATTTCAACTACGCTACTAAAGAATGCCATAGCATTACTTATTCAGTTCCATTATTTCAGTACACCAGTGCAATAGTATCTAATAACCAATGTAATATAAACATTTTATTGTACGATATTGATTAACCAAACAACACGACAGCCCAGCAAAATCAAATGAATCATCGACATAGTGATGACAATAATTTGTGTTAATGAATATATTCACATATGTAGAAGAATGTTTTAAATTTGGAGGCCAAAAGAAGAATAATTTCAATTTTTTAAGTTGGCAAATATGGTTGTCATTAGCTCAACATTTAGGTGATAATTTGCTAGAATTGCCTGAAAAAAAGACAAAAAATAAAATGAATATATAGTAGCAGTAATCTTTATAATATAAAAAACAAGTACAACTGAGATAACAGCATAATCTGCACTGCACAAAAGTTGTTCCAACTGATACCACATAAGCTAGAACCTATAAGGCTAGATCGTCCTCAAAAGTTGTTCCAACTGATACCACATAAGGTGATCTATACCTTTGCCTATCTTCTGTAGTTCATCTATGACAATATGGAGGCAACTATAGTGGAAGTAAATCGCTTTCGCGGTAACCACATTGCCTGATACCTGTTTTGTAGATTAATAAAGGGGTGTAATGCCTTGAAGGGGGCAAAAACAATATGGGTTAAATATTATATCTTGTTTTACTTAAATTAGCAATTGAACTGAATAAATGTTTTGCTTAAAAAGAGAACACTTGCAGTTTAGGAATTTACTTTCCTCTCCTGTTCTGTTGCTAAAGCTCTTTTCATGGAACCTTTTTCTGCAAAATGCTTACGTACAACTGAGCTCAATATCCTCTATCAATGCTTATGTTATTGCTTTAAAATATTGAGCAAAAACCCAGAACCGTGTTAAATATTTTTGGCTAATTAGCACTTGAATACCTCAAGAGTTTCACCAACTTTTCACTTGTATACCCACAGTTGTATTTGATACATTTATCTAACTTAATGTTTTCCACCGTTAACTTGACTTCAGCATAAATTTTTTGCCACAAGTCCTTCATTCCTCCACCGACCAAAAAAGAACAACATAAGCATAAAGAAAAAACACAAAATGCTCCTGCAAAGAAAGAAGAAAAACACACATGCATGCTGTGTGCTCAACATACAACTCGCACAATCATGATCTTCTATGCTCAAAATGCCATGAGCAGGAAAAGGAATTACTTTTAATTATATATCACTTTTCCTAGAGAGGAAAGGCAGGGTAGTGCACGAGGTTCCTACTGTTAGATGATCTAAGAGAAGTAAGACAAGTGCAGGAAGAAGACGGGTTATAGTCTTAACTCCACATTAAAGAGCAGCTGCTTCTATGACTAAAGTAGTGCAAACTGTACACCTGCAGAAACATTATCAAGGCAAATAGACTTCCTCTGCTATCCTCTTCTACCAGGTTCCATCCTTTACTAAACTATTGACAGTACTTGCCTGCATGGATATCATGATGCACGGATATAATGACAGACAAGCACATATGAGAAGCCTATTTGTCTTAGATCTCTGTTTCATTCTTAAATTTATGTCTGTCAATGTTAAGATGACACGAAAATGATGATAATGGATGAAGTAGGGCCAATAAGTTAAAAGGTTCAAAGGCAGGAAGAGCAGAAGAGAAATTGAGAGTTACAACAGAGAGATGGCGGAAAAAAGAGCTGGGATTAAATTTTGATTAGGATTTGAAAGGTTTACCTTGCATATAAAACAAAATTTAAGCAATTTAGCATTTATTAAACATTAAAGCACCGCTAAAACAAGTTGCAGCATACACTCTAGAGGCTGGCCACCTGAGCCTTTCAGTTTTTTTAGCACAGAAGTAGCTTTTACTCTAGTTCTCCAGACAGAAACCAGAGATGATAAAAGGATACACAAAATTGTTTAAAATATAGAATTCAGAATTTCACAGGCTGCAATAGATAGAAAGGGTAAATATAAATTTTTTTAGCATCCACAGGCAAAGGTTTAATAGATTCAACATGCCAAATTGGTTATTTATAAAAAAGGGTTTTATATATATATATATATATATATATATATAATATATATTAGAGAGAGAGAGAGAGAGAGATATTAATGGGTATCCTTGGACAAGTGAGGGGATTTCCTGCCTTGACAATGATGTGAGGCACGCAGATCCCGCACGCATGTGAAGGAGAAGAGAATAAAGTAGGAGAGAGTAGATTTGCACATGTGGGCCACATGGCATTGTCAAGAAGGAAATGCCGCCTTATCAAGGAAATTACCGCATTATCTCATATATATAGTATATATATATATATATCTTATATATATATATATATATAAATATTATATATATATATATTATATATATATATCATATATATATATATATATATATATATATTATATATATATATAATATAGACACACACATAGAGAGAGAGAGACTTCACACTTTCTGCCCCTCAAAACCATGGGCTAACAAATCTGCCCTCAAGGTAAACAAGCACTCGCTTGTTGAACACAAAAGTTCTTATAACCAGTAGTTCTGAACATCGAACTCTAATTCATAACAATAGAATATTTTTGCACCAACAGGATGGGAAATAAATATAGGTTTCTCATTCAGTAAAAATAAAATAAGGATCAGATTACCTAGACGTATATTAATCAAAAGATAAATCATCCCAAATGGGCACCTCTTAGGTAACAAAGACCACCTTGCGCTCTTACCTAGTACTCAAAAATCATTGTAGGCTCCTAGCCAGCCAAACATTCAACCAAGAACAGAAGAAAGTAAAAAAGAATAAAAATTCCAAATTATACTACTTGACCTTTATTACTGTCTTTTTAGACCATTGTTTCATCTTTGGTCTAAGACCACAAGTAAACACCAACAGCTGAAATTGGATGTGGGATAGCAAGACTAAATAATTAGCTAACAAATCAACTGTCCAAACAAACCCGATTTTGACCCTTTCCAATGCAATGACTCACGAATAGCAGAAAGCCAACACAAACAAAGATGTATAAAGAAACCGCAGCGAAGAACCATTCATATCATCCATCAAAACTCACTTCAATTGTTGAAATGAAATATCCTAACAGTTAAGAGGTTTCAATAAAGGTACATAAGATGTAATGCGATAGAACAGGACCAAGATTAATAGCAAAAACAAAGGAAAAAACAACATATAAATATCTAGAACATACTAAAGGATAAGAAACCAACCATCCACGAGTTTGGTCAAGGCCCTCGGCAACAAAGTGTCCAGGAAAGTTCTTCTCAAAGAGTTCAACGTTCTCGAATGGATAGTGAATATAAGCATATGGCATAGAGCCACTCTCAAACCAGCAATCAAAAACCTGCAGCAGAATCTTCTAAGTTATTCTGGAAAAGAACTGATGCAGATATGAAGTAATATCACACATGGAAGAATTTGATGGTACTTGTTTTAGGAAAGCTTGAAAGAATTGGTTTTTAATCATAAACCCAAACATGGCCAGACCACAGTTCGTTCAAATGGTTAGAAATTTAAGCTCTAGAAATGCATTTTACAAAACATAGAATATATCTTGTTTACTTGGTGCAAGGATATATAAGAATACAAACAAATGACTCATCCTCATTTTGACAACGCAGATGCAATATTAGGAAACCAGTTAACAATTTTGGAGCTGAAACAATATCAAAGAGGGAGAACATTAAGGAAACTGATATTTATTTGATGGCAACAAACACAACAAATGCAATTGATTGTATTATATCTCCTTAATACTTTCAAACTTCTGAACATTGAGCTGGCCCACTATGAACCAATAAGGTATAGAAAGAAATTTAACTTTTATAATCCCAAAGTTTACTTTAAGGGGTTCCATTACCTGCATTTGGGCATACATCTTGATAGTTAATGCAAAGAGAACAGAATGGCGGTAAGGATAAATATGCCACTTGTATTTTTCCTTGAATTTTCCTTTATCAAGAAAATATTCTTGCAGGTATTCGTTTTACCCTGATAAGTTCTCAATACTTGAAAGAAAGTGAAGATATGGTTGGATATGTTTGATAAAAGGCGGAAAAAGAGAGGGAGTCAGGATAGTGTTCATTATGAATGAACTTTTATTAGGATATACTAACAGTATGATCACCCTCCTCTTCCTTTTAACTTCTCTTCTATCTCCAGTGAGTGCCACCTTTTCTTCCTGTTTACTTTCTTCAGATCTGCAAAATTTTCCTTTGTGTCTTTTCTGAATATCACTTTTCTCCATGAGCTGAAATTTCTTAAATCTACAGCGGATTTCAAGTTGTCACCATCTTTAGAATCCCCTGATACCATCAAGGCATCAACTCATAGTTCCTGAGGCCATCCAGTACATTTCTGAACAAAGGACTTTTGCAGGCACAAACCGACATGGCTTTAAGTGCAATTACACTTCCAGAAAGAACACAATACACAAGTCTCATTTCTGACATTACCATCTGCTAAATGATTGATTAAAGGATACAAGATGCCAAGGCCTTCAATAAAGCAAACATCTATATGCCGGGCATGTCCTACTACCTTGTAAATGGTTCAAATAATCAATAGATGTGCAAGAGTTATGCGGGCCTTGTAACATATGTAAAATAACTATTCACAAAGGGACATATGTATAGAGTTCAATCATCTAAAATGATAAACTTTCATAACAATATACTATCAATATACATCTAAGTCTTTACTCTGATGATGATTATTAGCTCTGAAATATGATGAACTAACTCTACAATTAGTCAATTCCAGCGGCAATATAAGAGGTGCTCTGCAGAACTTACATCATCAACACGCCGAAGCATACCAAATTCAGGACCACGATTAGAGGGAATAGTGATATGATCAATGTGATGACGGTGCAGATCAGTAACCTGCACAAACCAATAACAAAATAAGGAAAAACGACCTGCCTTGACATCAAATTCAAATTCATATCACACCTAATGCAATCTGTAAAGAAAACAATGTAATTAAAAAACGAAAAACAAAAGCAAACATTTGGCTGATAGAAAATTTTTAAAGGATACCTCAAAGCAAGATTCAGGAAAACATAAAACATATACAACAGAAGAACAATACTGATGAGAAAACAACAAGAAATGATTGACGGAAAAATAGGAATTAAGAAAGAAGGTACCTTTGCACCAGACAACTTTTCAAGTTTATCAATCGAATCAATTACAACTTTCTCCACACCATCCTCACTAATCCATACAGGTAGAGGAGTTCCCCAAAACCTACTTCTGCTCACAGCCCAGTCTCTAGCATTTTCAAGCCAATTGTGAAAACGCTTTTCCTGTCAAGAACCAATACAGTTACTCAACATGGGGACACACATTGTGTACCGTAGATTAAATAAGATTAAAATTGAACATCCCAAAATCTAAAGACGAAATCAAAATATATATGCAAATTTGTATAGAAATGAAAACTCAATAACTTACTAAACGAAATTTAGCACTAACAGACAGCCAGCAATCCATAATAATAATTTGAACGATAGGAAAAAAAATAAAAAGAAAAAACAACAAACCTTAACATAATCAGGAACCCAGTACGTCTGTTTGTTACTCTCAAGCAATTTATCTTTAATCTTTTCAACCGCCACAAACCTTCAGATAGTCCAGAAACAATTCAATAAATATGTGAAGCTTTGAACAGCACAGAGCAAAGTTGTCAGAAGCAATTGCAGCAATTCTCCATAAGATGCGTACATGATATAACTGTACTTAAAGAAAACAGTTGAACAATGAAGAAGTTTAAGCTCTTCTACAGAAAATTAGGCACGTTAAATCTTTGCTTAAGTTCAATATAGAAAATACAGCTGATGCTCTTGAGACAGGAAGGTTTAAATGTAAAAAGGATGTACATAACATTACGGTGTGGAAAACAGCTGATAATGTGAATGCAAAAATCATATACTAAATAAACCTTCTCCATACTGCTGTTAAGATGAGTAGTGAACTAGAAGGGATAAAGCGAGGATGAGACATAAGTATATCAAAGGGCATGCAAGAATGAATAATTATGAACAAAAAAAGTTATGAACAAGGTGATGCAGAACTTATGGTGTAAAGTCATGAGAAATCATAACTAAGAGCTCATAATGTCTTACTCGGAATATGCACACAGTTCACATGAATATTAATTAAATAGATGTATGCAGCTGCACATATCTGGTTTTTGGCGAAATGTCACCAAACACCAATTCTTACTGAAACAAATCAAGGAAATAGGCATACAATATTATATCCCAGAGGGGAAAAAGAAAATAAAGAATTATTACACTAATAACCAACAAACTTTTTCACGTGTCATATTACTATTAAGACAAAGATAACTGGTGCATACAAATAAATTCTGATTATATACAAGTTTACATCTTGTAAAAGATCATAGATCTAAAACCCAATTGAATTTAAGTAATAGTGTAACACAACCAATAAAAACTTACCAACTCGGAATAGCCCTATACAAGAGTGGAGTTTCAGATCTCCAACAAAATGGGTAAGAATGCATAATGCTTCCTGAATTTACAAGTCTTCCTTTTGCCTGTAGTGAAGTTGCAAATATTAGACTTCCTAAGATGCAAATTATCAGGAATGATCAATTAAGGTCATCAGTGGAGGAAAAAAAAGACACCAGTAGTGAAACAGGATGATGTGATAAGATGCGTACTTCCTTCATCTTGAGTTCAGTACTACAGTAGATATCTTATTTTCTGGATGATATTCTCACTTTAAAAAGAAAAGTATTGTGGATCGTGAAGGTTCATTTCTAAGCTGCATTTGAGTTTAAAAAAAATTATCTTAAGATTATCTAGTTGCACTTAGTTTCTCCATCCATGGAAATATAATCATGGTTTCCTTCTAAAAAGTTTCCTATACTGGAAACATAGTGGTTAATGCTATTTATTGGTTAATGCTATTTATTGTTCACTTTAGAGTACTAGAATCTCATGGAACTGAACAAATAAAAGTGATACTGTATGTTTATATTAATCACTTCTTTCATAAAATATCTTTAGAGTTTGTTTCTGAACAATCTATTAATATTTTTTTCATTCCCATTATTCCAATGTACTTGAGATTTTCCTATGAGGTAAATAAAAAAACTAGCAGACATGATAATAAGTAGTGCTGAACAAATACAGAAGATGACAACCCACAATGAAAAATATAATAATTCACAACAACTAAAGCAAGGGACTTGACAGGAAATCAAGTCACGATGAACAAATTGAAGACATATATGATTCTTAATTGCTAGTCTCACCTTCACAGCATTTAAGATGTCCTTATCAGCATCCTTGACATGGCGTCCTTGAAAATCGTATACTTTTTCAATAAAGCGTCCATCAGCATCAATTGCAACTATGAGCTCCTCATCCTATACAAGTAAGAAACAGATAAATAAATATTATATGAATTCAAATTCGATGAAAATTACCTTTAAGCACAACTAAATTATATAAAGAGTAGGCGAAATCAACTATGACTATAAATAAGTTGGTAATAAATAGAAGATGGTCCTCAATGGAGATGAATGGAAGGAAAAGATTCATGTAACTGAATTTAGAAGTTACGAAAAAGGCTTAAGCCTTTCCATTGTTGTACATCTTATACACGACTCAACAACCTGCCACTTCCACCAAACTTTACAAAATGTTCTCCACTCCGATTACTTTTTGAGCTTCTTCAATCTACCAACAATTCACTTTACCAGTATATGTATGGAAACAGAGTGTGTAGTAGAACGAAGAAGTTTATAAGTAACTAAAGAGAAGAGAAAATCTAAAAAAATTGATAGAAATTTTAGAATGAGGAAAATTTTGAGACTTCTGAATAAATATAAATGAGCAGAAAAGAAAGCAAAAAAAGAAGGAAAGGAGACTTAAGTACAAGGCTTATGAGAATTTGTGCAAGGAGCTAGAGTCTAATATATATTGTTTATTAATTATTTAGATAGTCTATAAATACTAACAATTCATAATAACTTTAATACTTAGAATCATCAAATTTTTCAAACATAACATCACAATTATCAAATATAAAAATATAGTATCACAATTTCTTAACAAAAGTTAGTCATATATGACTAACCACCATTCCAAAAAGTATCATCAAATGATCAAATACGTTAACGTCATTAAGTTTAAGGCAATAAAAACAAGTCTAAACACTTCCACCTCTGGAGTTATGAACATCAAAAAAACATTCTAATTCCTAATTAAGTTCACTATATCAACTAAACTAAACATGGTTATGTAACAACAGTAAGAAATTTTGCATACACAGAGATGCATGCAAATTTAATTTCACAAAGTATTAATGAAAACTAAAACATAATAAAAAATCAAGTAATAACTGAAAGTAATTATCTAATCAACACAATGAACCCACTAATTAATCTCGTTACTCTAATTCTATGACAAATCTTTTAAAAAATTATGTTGAAGGGTAAAGTAATGGAGCAACAAGTTTGATTTATGGTAAATTGGCAATACAAAAGATTAGAATTTGGAAGGTAATTTTCAGAATCACTATTTATTTTAAAGAAATAAATTAAGATGCCCGATATAACTAAAAAATAAAAATTTACCTCACCGAAGCAGCTTATAGCTAGAGGAGTTTGAGAAGAGGCAAAGAGCTAGGGTTTCTGTTGGAGGAGGCGAAGAGGTTGCATATTAGTAGCAAGAGAATAGGGTGATCGGGGCTAAAAGGGCTAGGGTTTAAATGATTTGGACGTGGAGATGCATCAATGTGTCCTAATCAGAGATGCAATTTAACCTAAAAAAACCTATGTTAACTGGTTATGTAACGTAACGCACATTTAACGCAATATAACGTTTTTTTTAGGTTAAACAGTTTCAGGGTTAAATTGGTGTGTTACCTAACAAGAGGTTACCGTTAAGTTACAAAACGGGTTATAACGAGTTATATAATATATTTTTTTAAACACTAATACACACATATATAAAGAAATAGAGTATGGAACTAGGTAATTTTACATGTATCAAAGAGTGAGGAACAAATAGTTAGTAATTGATCATAAAATTAAAGAGAGATGGAGCAGCTATTTTCTTAGATTGTTAAATCACAACCACACAGGAAAACATAAGTTAGAACCTAACACCATAATGCTTGTAGGAACCGCAAGTACTGTCAAAAAACTAGGGTTAGTGAGACCAAAATGCTTTAAAGAAATGAAAACTGGAAAAGTCGTAGGACACCTGACGATATTGCTACCAAAGTTTGAATATGTTCTTGGAAATGTAGGCTTAGACGGTTGACAAACTCAACAAGATTATAGATATGAAGTAAATGCACGATGTATGGAGAATTAGTACTTTCTATTCATAGGCATGAATAAAGAAGATACATGAAGTACTTCAAATTTTTGAACTTAGGAGTCACATTATAAAACTTCAGAGGATAATTGAGCAAAGAATGAGAGAGAAAACGTATCGGATAACCAATTTACTTTTATCAGTTTATGTAAGGGGGTTAACTATGAAATATATTTATAGATTAAGACAACTGATGGAGAGGTACTAAAGGAAGAGAAATGATCTACATGGTTTTCATTGTTCTTGAAAAAGAGCTTATGGTAGAGTTCCAAGGATATAATTTGGTGGGTCTTCAAAAAGAAATAAGTATCTAGCAGATAACTGGTTGTTGGACTACTTTTCTCAAACTACTCCCACACTAACAAGAGAGAAAGGTGGGTCCATTCACATCAACTTTTTTCAACATTGATGACTCATAAAAGGAGCCTACACTTCTCAAGGAGAGAAAAGTGTGGGAGTAGTTTGGAAGAGGATAGTCTAGTTAGCATTATTCATCAAAGATATGTATGATAGAGCAACAACTAAAACATGCACAACTGATTAAGAGATATAACTATTTCTATTAACATAGGTTTGCAGCAAGGGTCAACTTTAAAACCCTTATCTTTTGCATTAGTTGTGCAAGCGTAGTAGATATATATAAGACAGTCCTATTGTGTATATCATTTGCTGAAGGCATAGTATTACCTACTGTGTATATCATTTGCTAAAGGCATAGTATTAGTTAATGAGAGCTGGGAAAAGAAACTTTCCAAAGCACAAGGTGAAAAGAAGTACTCGAAACAAAAATAAAATAGATGGATTTAGTAAAACTATGAAAGAGAATGACCATGAAATACATTTGATAGTTAAGAAATATCTGGTTGTAATCACTTTAGGTATTTAGAATCATTGCATTAAGATTGTGAGATTGTCAATGGACAACTTTTTATGGAGTGGTTTTGGTATGTGATTCATTGAGTACAATCATGATGAGCTAAATTCGAGGAGTGCTCCCAGAGTCCCATGTGATTGTTAAATACATACTGCACTGAAGGTGAAATTGTATAGGATGCTTCTAACAATAAGACCAACAATGCTTTATGAATATGGTGGACTATTAAACATGAGCCGGAAATGATTGGGGGAGAACGGAGAATGTTAAAATGTACACATAGATATTAACTAACAAATAAGATAAGAAATTAGTACATTTGTAGAAAATTAAAGGTTGCATCTATCCAAAGATACAATGAGAAAAAATTAAGATGGTCTGGTCATGTGCAACAAAGGCCACTAAACGACATTAATTAGGAGACCTGAAAGGACTATAGCTAATGGAGCGAAAAGGACAAGAGGATCCAAAAGAGATAAGACTTACAAAAGTGAATAGACAAATAGGATTTTCATGTTGTGGATCCAAAAGATTTGGAATAAAGGCTTTGTTGTTGTCTTTGTTTTTTTACCTATCATTACCATGCAAGCAAGGAAGCAACCTTTTATCTTCCTTTTCTTTGACACACATGTTTCAACGAAACTAAAAAAAACCCACATATATTAACCTATCTAACTTATATATTGTAGCCCCGCATAAGTAACTTACATCTTACTTCTTTTGCAAATATATATTCTTCTCCAAAACCAAGAGGAATTTAAAAGCACATATATTTCAAGAAAAAGAAATCTACCCATGTTGGCATGTATTGGATATATGGATAAATTTATATTGGTGCTATCTCGGATATACCTCGTGAAATTCCATATTTTCAACAACTCGCTAATGCACGAACATGTTCGATATTAAGGATACATTCAAGACCAAGAAATTATACTATTCATAATATTGGCTTCATTGCCAACTTTTCTTGTGGATACGTGACTACAATTTCTTCTTTATCAATTAAGAAATATGATTATGCTGGAGATCTCACACAAATAATAGTGCTTATTTTTTATTGTGGGTTCTCTATTATATTACCATCTCTCTCACAAACTGGACAAGGAACCAAACGAACTGATAATAATTTTGTATTAAAAGGAAAATAATTTTATAAATAGCATGTAATTTCATTGTTTTGTGTCTGGTGTCCATCATACATGTTTTAAAATAAGTAAAACACATATGGTGGAAGTAGATGAAGTGACAAACAAACGAATATATAACATGCACACAAAAAAAGTAGATGAAGACAAAACTGTTGACCTAAGGCATTTAGGTAGATGCACGTTGGATGTATGATAGAGAAACATGTGAGTATGAATGTACACACTTGCTTGTACATGCTCATGCACATAAAGCAGTATCTTTATTGTGTAATATATTGGCTTTCTGATAATGTAAGAATTTCATTTAGTATGCCCATTCCACATGGTATGACACATGCAACAATAAAGAAACAATGAAGAAAAAGAGCACCCCAAGAGGGAGAGAACCAAATAGGAAATATTAAACTAGAAGAGAAGGGATTATTCAGTAGTGGTTTAAATGCAGCATATTAGTGGACCTTAGAAAAGCAGTTGAAATGTGTAACTCATGCAAGGTTGTGAAAAACGGAAAGCAGAGCGAAGCGGTGACAGTGAGATAGCACTTAGGCTTTTAGCGCTTAAGCAGATTAAAGTGGAAAAAAAACAGCAAGTTAAAAAGACGTTTCATTTTAAATATGGATAAATATTCAAACAAAAATTCATGAAAATGTAAAAAATCTATAAATGCATATTTGAAGACTTATAGAGAACTAAGCATAAAATAGATGTGTAACAAACACACAATATTAACAAAGTATCGGTGCTTTGTCAAGGCAGTGGAGGAGAGCGAGCAATAGACTGAAGCTTCGCTGAGAAGCTTGGTGAAGACGATGAGTAGGAACTCATCAAGAGAGGCGGTGAAGAGAAAGTGTTGGATGTGTGGTGGAGGCAAGAGAAGCTCCTAAAGGTAGAATTGGTGGCAGGAGGTGGAGAATTTGGGGCTTGGAGGAAATAGAGCCAAAGGATGATTTGGGGTCTTAGGGTTTTTCTTTTTGGGGTCACAACCAAGAAAGAGAAAGAGGGATGGTTGGATACAATGAGTTTTAGCCGTTTTAAAGCGCTAATAAGCGCCTTCTAGCGCTTTTCTCTACTTTACACTACTTTTCACCCGTTTTTCACGCTTTCGTGAGCAAAAGGCACCACTTGCGCTTTATACCACTGCTTTGAGGCAAAGCAAAGTGGCCAAGGGTTGCTTCCACTTTATACCATCGCTTTTTACCACTTTTCCAACAATGAACTCATGCCACGTGACATAAACATGGGAAGTACTCTAAAAGCTTTCCAGTGGAGCATAGAGAGGAAAAGTGGGTTTGTACAGGAATGAAAGACTATAGATTGTAGAGTGAACCAGATTCCATGAAAGTTAGATAGAATGTTAAATTTAATTGTGTCAATTTGTCAAGAACAGCAACCAAAAGAACTTGAGCCTTGCTACAAAGACCACAATTTCAACAGTAAAAGTGAAATCTAAACAGGGGGAAACATCCTAGACTACATACTTGATGGCGATTCTGATAACTGTCTCATGTCCAACAGAGGTAACTGCTGAATCAAATTATTAATTATCTAGGCATATCAACAAAGCCCCTACCTTACGTACTATACCAGAAGCAATGCAAACACGATAATCATCTTCACCAAATGCAGGAGCACAATGGACAACCCCAGTCCCACTATCATCTGTGACATAATCATCAGCAACCACCCTAAATGCCATGTCTGCGCACTCTTTGAAATAGTCGAACAAAGCTTCATACCTGTATCAGAAAACTACCAGCTTTCAGTTTCCTCAAACACATAAAGAATCAAGGCAAATCAAATTCAAAATTTTCATTATGATCTGCACAAAATTCCATCGGAACAGTTTCCAACAACTATCACTCAGAATTTAAAGTTGAATATTAGTCTAAAATTACATAATATCAAGTGTAACACATCAAAATAGTTAAAAGGAACATGTGTTAAGATATTTATATAAGGATAGTAGTGAACTTCTATACAACACATTCTATGATAAACTATCTGTCCATAAGCCAAGAACATTTTTACGACACTAATGTTATCGTCAAACCAGAACTGGAGGGAGTAACTACAGAGGATAATATCCAAAAGGAGAAAACCAATTAGCATGACTCAATAATTCCTAACATCTACGAAAAGAACTAGAGAGGATTTGATTTGATTATGAAATATGGCAGTAGATAACCCTCATGTTCCGAAACATATCAGACCTTATGGCAATATTTCAAAGTCACACCCCTTTATTCATCCCTTCGAAGGAAACTGTAAGCTGTTTTAAGAGTCTTCTTTTATTTAAACTTGCAATGCTTATAAATTGATAACGTTCCTTTCAGCAATGAATCAAAGAGCCCACATTGTGTTAGAAATAACACCATGAACCCTTGCTAACTTGACCCAGTTAGAGCTTAATATATTTCTGCACTTGCCACGGCTCCAACATTGGCCGCTGTAACAATGAATATTATATCCACTACATTGTTACATTGGGTCCTAGAAGTTGTCCACCTATGCTTGTGATCAATTGGACTATGAATGCAATACATTGTCAATGCGTGTTCACTTCACAGAAGTACATTAAACACACACAAACATACACGCGCGCGCATTATCAGTTCATGGTTACTGCTCATAGATTGAATCACTAAATGAGATATCAAGAAATGGTGATGTAATGATATCCCATTCCAGTTTGTGCTATATCCAACAAGCAGAAGCGGCCAATAGCCAACTATTATAACACCATCCATATATAGCCAACAATAGCAGCACCAAAGTAATTATGTGTGCAGTCAGTATTGAAATATTGGAGACCAAATTCTGGTTGTGTTACTTCCCTATACAAACTAATCATGCATTAACTTCTTGTGAAGCAAAGATAAAAAAAAACCTAACTAATATTGGTATAGGTAGCACGCATACAGAAGTATTACCACAACCTGACTTTCTAAAGGAAACAATATAGACTGAGTGACAAACACTTGAAAAGTAGCTTGCGCATGAAACAGATATAGTGATATGCAGATAATAATCAAACAGAAAGTGGTGAGTGCTCACTTCATGCCCACAAGGGAAGCGCCTGAAATTTTTTCCAACACTTCATATGATCCAGTATCCACTGTGCACTTAGTTTTTCCATCTGGAGTGTCCTTGCTCTTAGGCTTTGAGTTTGCTGAGCTTTGCTTCAAGCTCGACCCATCTCCTTTTGGTTTCTTTACAGGTAGCTGGGAAAGCCGAGATTCTGCAACAATATATGTTGCACCAGTCAACTTGTCCCTAACCTGTTATGATTTCACAGTAAAATGAGATTCCTAGCTGCTACAGGGTAGTGGTAATACCGATCAACACATCATAAATTGTAAAAATGATTTAATTAAGAATATCAAACTATATTCTGTCAAGCCAAGTGTAAACTAACAGTAGTGTGCAAAAAAGAGCATCTTATAATTACTGAAAATTCCAAAAGGAATTAAACAAAAGTAAGGCTACCATATAGCAAATTTCGAAAAGGAAAAAAGGATGCAAAAGCACTAGGCTTTTTTGATCATGAGGAAAAAAAACAAACATGAGGAAAAAGAATTCTCCAATACTTCGTTCCTGGCAAAGCAGGTTATTCTCGATCTATGGGTCTAAATTACTACTACCCACTGAAAGGGAAGTAGCGCGCGCCTACAGTATGTTGCAGAATTGCTGAATTGTCACTTTATATGCATTGCACATGGATATTGGTGATTCAAGTAAACATTGATAAACTGAAAATAGCCATGAATTCTCCTCATTAATACATTAATAGAACATGCAGTGACCTAGTCAGGTAAATTTTTTAACTTTTGAGTTGTTTCATTGAGATGAGTTATAGAGATATCAAGAAAGTAGTTCGATGCGGTTTCAATAAATGCAAAATGTGAGGAATGCAATGGGCCATGATAACAATCCAGGACATATTTGTGAATGATCAATTAAATTTAAAATGCATGAAAGTCATATAAACTCTCATATTACTTTCATGGTGCTCTCTAGAAAGCTCATCCATCCGTTGTCTCAGAGGTCAGTTGACTATCTAGAAATTTAACAGAATAGATTGTGGGATTATGTTTGGTCTACATATTAATCAAAAGGGTGTTTACAAGTCTAGCATCAAGTTGAACAATAGGTTGTTTGCAAATATCTTTTTAATTTGACATCTCAAAGGATATAGTATGCAGAACTGTAAGTATATCATTAGCTTTAAGCAGTCAAAACATAAATGAGATAGCTCTTTTCATGCTAAAGTCGGTTAGTTGGTCTTATTTTATAGCTTAATGTTTAGGTCAAGTAGTTATGTTCACTTAAACCTTGGTGATCAACAGGATTATTGGCATCGCATAGACGTATTGTAATTGCACCAGTTCGTTATTTGCACAAAACGATTTACTTAAAGTTCTAAGTACTCGTGTAACATGCCTAAGGCTCACCAAACATGCAAAATTGGCATTATAATTGTCCAGAAGGTAAGAGTGATCAGTAGTGTCCATGGACTCATTAATGACATAGGAGAAGTATTTATCAGAAACCCATAAGTTAGTACTCTTAATGTTCTTACCAGCATTACAACAATTTTTTTGGTTTCCAAACATCATTTAATCAATCATTTCCATTTATAACGATATTGTATAAGTTTGATTCTTTCATATGAATAACATAACTACCTTAACATATTGGAAACCTGCATTGACACAGAGTGCAAGATTACTGGGAAGCGTCCATGGGGTTGTTGTCCATGCGACAAGAGCAGCATTGTCTGGGTCCCCAATTAAAGGGAAAGACACCATAATTGCCGGATCTGACACTTCCTACATAGTCAAAGACAATTGCTTGACAGAGAAATAAACATTGGAATAATTTTATTCCGAGAAAAATGGCATACCTTGTAGTTGAGCCCAGCTTCAAAATTGGCAAGAGGAGTCTTGCAACCTGTACTGTAAGGCATAACCTGCATAAGAAGTAAGACTATGACTAGTAGTACTTCTGGTGCAATCAAGTAAGGTAGTAAAAGAAAGTATCACTCACCAACAAGGAATGAATTAGATTTATAATTAAAAGAAGGTTATTGCCCTTTGGATACCCCAAAGTTTCGTCCTTGTTTAACTTCAATACAATTAAATTTCCCCTAAAATGTATCCCAAAGTTTCCATCACTTGTAACTACAATACCTTCATTGTTCATAATTCAGTTTTGGTTGTGAACATTGCTTAACATGGTTGTTTTGCTATGAAAACTTGGAGAGATGGACAAATACTTTTATTTTCAATGAGTACGGGTTCAAACAGCTGAAGGAGAAAAACAATGGGAAACCCCTAGGGCATAAAAATTCAAATATTATCAAGTTATCAGCACGGGATGCGTTTTAAAGATAAACTAAATGGTGCTGCAACCGAACCTATTAAAGTTAAAAATGACAAAATTTGGTGTAGTCGTTTGTGCAAATCTAAGCTTCCTGGTAACCAAAGTTAAAAATAGATGAACCCTTAGGAAATTTTAGGGTATTAAATTGTTTCGCATTCACCTTTTCAATGTTAACATTCGATGTTGATATTCTTGAACAAAGTTAACAAAGACCGAAAGGTTGAGGTATTAAAGTGCAAGCAACAAACAATCCGAGAATGTCCGAATACCTTGAAACCCCTGTACACCAATCCCTTGTCATAAAGCTGAGCAAAAACCCACCAGACGCTCTCCATAAAACTCGGGTCCATCGTCTTATAATCATTCTTGAAGTCGATCCACCTCCCCGTCCTCGTAATGACCTCCTCCCACTCAGCCACGTACCTGGTGACGATCCCCACTCGGTGCGCTTCAGCTGGGTCTTGAAGGCTTGGATCGACTCCCAGAGGTCTAGGATTTGCTCCTCTTGTTTTGGGAACGAGAAGTCCTTGCCCTCGCAGACGTCCTCCATTGTTTTTTTCAATGGAGAATCGCCCGCGCGCCGCTTTGATCTGAGAGAGAGATGAAACTGATGGGGACGAAAGAGAGAGGCGACGGCAGGGGACCGAAGGGACCGCGAGGAATTAGGGTTTTGGGTTTTCTAGTAGGATAAACGGCCCGTTTCATCTACTTTTCACCTAGCGGGGTTATTCATTTGGACACTTGGGGCAAATTGGTGTAAATTGTTTGGAATAAATTTATCCAATAGGATAATTTGAGTGGGATAAATTGGTATAAAATTGGATAATTAGTGGGACAATTGATATGATATCTTTTTATAATATGATATTTATAGATTAATTAAGTACAAGTTTAACTTAATATTACATCAAATGATTAAATAAATAATAATAATATATAATAATATTATGTTTAAAATTATTTTAATATAAAATATTAAAATAATATAATAATATTAATATTAATCAAACTTTGAATATTTTGAAGTTTATTTTAAATATTATGCTATATTAATAAATTTTTTAATTACAATAATTATTTAATCATTCCTACATTTATTACAATGATGATGATAAAGTCTTAATTATTACAAATAAAATCTTAGTTAGTAACTTGAATCTTAATTATTATAAATATAATCTACCGTCAAATAACTTTGCTCTAAACTCTTTGGGCTACGTTTGTCTCATCCTCCCACATTATGTTTGTCATTTGTTCTCTCCAACGTGATGCAGCTGTCCGCTGTGCTTGTTGAGTTTGTAGGTCATCGTCCTCATCAGAATCACCATCAATCGGAGCAACATTGTGTGGTGCCTCTGGAGGAAGATCAGATACTTCAAAGTCATCGTTAGAGTTCTCCATCTTCAGAAAATTATGCAGACCGATACATGCCCAGATCATACTTTTTTGAGTTTCATATGGAAAACCTGGAGGTTGAGACTTAAAAATAGTAAACCTAGACTTCAAAACGCCAAAAAACGTTCAATACAATTTCTAAGAGATGTATGTCGATGGTTGAATAACTCATGAGTATTGCGTGGTCGTTGACGGTTGTTAGCTGGGCCAAACTCTTTAAGGTGGTACCTCGTACCCCGATAAGGAGCCAAGAATTATAGCCTATTTGGGTAACCACAATCAACTAGATAAAATTTACCTGCATTAACATTTCTTAAGCATTATAATAAATAAATATAAAATCTAACAAATTGATAAAATAAATATTTACCATTTGGGAGTGGAAGATTGCATGCACTTCTACTCGTTGCATCCTTCAAGACCCGTGAATCATTGGTAGATCCCTCCCATCCCACTAAGACATAAATAAATCTAAGATCAAATGTGCATGCTACAAGGATATTTTGAGAAAGATAGCGATGTCTATCACGATATGGAGTTTGGTCCTCGTCATACACCATACATGGAATGTGGGTCCCGTCAATAGCACCGATACAGTCCTATATATTCCCATTAACATATATGAAATGTGACTTTAAAATTATAATAATGATGAATGGAGACTTATATAGTGTATTTAAATATCAATACCTTGAAATAATGCCAAAAACGAGATTCGGATGTGACCTTTTATGGTGGATCGGTAGGAGGAGAAGCCATCATACAAGGGGCTAATGACACAAGGGCCTGGAGTGCCTTATTGAAACATACACTGACTGCAAATCGGGATCGATCAAACCTCTCAATGGTGATGCAATATCGTTGATTTTGAGAAACGGTGAGAAGAAAAATAGCAACCATCTCCTCAACGCTGATATACCGTGTATCTTGTAAATGCCCACGTTCTCGCAAGACCATACACAATTTCATGAAGCAATCCGGATACATACGATATACTCGACGAAAATCACGTGGGTTGCTCTCCATCTTAGATTTCAAATATTGAAGACCAAGGTCCGTAATGCCATGTCTGAGTTAGGAGATGCGTAGATTTAACTCCTCTTGTGATATGATGTGTGTGATACTCATGACTAGACCTCCTATTTGTGCAGCCATGTTGATAATGCGGATAAGGAGATAATCAACAGTATCCCCATGAAATAGCAAAATAGAGACATTCTAATTTGATTCCATCTTGTATTAATCATGAAATCAAAACATACTTAGACCAAAAGCATATAACTAACAACATCAAAGTATATAACTAACAACATCAAAGCATTCATGTCTAATCCATAAAAGTACAAAAGCACAAAAGCACAAAAGCACAAAAGCATATAACTAACAACATCAAAACATTCATGTCTAATCCATAAAAGTACAAAAGCACAAAAGCATATAACTAACAACATCAAAACATTCATGTCTAATCCATAAAAACACAAAATCATATAACTAACATCATCTATGTTCCCAAAAATACAACTCCAAAAGAGTAGTCATCAAACTACGGTCCACAAGCATAGTCATTTGGAAATACTCCAGTCAGTCGCCAAATCATAAACCTTCTCCTTTGACCATCATTCATCTTTACAAACATATCCTTCACGTCTTGAGAAATATTTTGACTAAGGACAGTCAATCGCTCTTCATCGGTAAATTCTGGAATTAAAGCCACTCCCTCGACTCACGGTTGGTTGCGGCTTCGCAATAACCTCACCTCTGTGACTAACTCTTGTAAAGCCTTACTTATAATTATAATTCCACTCACCATTTCTTGCACGGCGGGTTGAGACATTGTGTTAGCTGTGGTGCGGGAAGGTACTCTACGAACATTTCTACTAGTGCTAGAGGTTGATGGTACATATTCAGCCACGGGAGTGGCAGGATACTCTACGAACATTTCTACTAGTGCTAGAGGTTGATGGTACATATTCAGCCACGGGAGTGGCAGGACCTGAAGTGCTATTAGGGGGAGGTGGTGGAGGATCTACTGGTGGTTGGGTAGGTTCTTCTTCACCTATAGCATCAAGTCCAATCTCATCATCAAATATACCCTCACCCAATGCATTATGTAATGAAGCACTCTCTACACCCTCACTTCCTAAGCCTTCAGCTGCTCTCCCACTAGCTGAGTGACTACCCGCCACCATCTGCATATCCTCCAAATTTTCAAACAACTTATCTTTAAGCATTGGTGTATTAGGATGAGCCTGTCAAAAAACAAAGATAACAAGTTAATTTTTTCTTTTTTGTAATTAGCAAACATAACAATATATTATGTCGTTAGAAACTTTGGGTAATCTAGAATCTAACCTGTTTGTAATTTTCCCACACCTCAATGGAGCAAGTAATTCTTTGAGATATTGGGTCCCAACCAAACCCAGAATTGTTCCTCAATAGATTTTCAATTGGTTCAATCTTCCTCTTCCAACTCTTGATCTTATTCTTTATATGATCAAATTTAAAAGTTCTTCAATTGGTTCAATCTTCCTCTTCCAACTCTTGATCTTATTCTTTATATGATCAAATTTAAAAGTTCTTCCAAATTTAGCATTCATGAATGGCAACACTCTTGATCTTATTCTTTATATGATCAAATTTAAAAGTTCTTCCAAATTTAGCATTCATGAATGGCAACACGTTTTGAGTGATGGTATATTTCTTGAAGTTCCCATTGTCCATCTTGTTGCCATTCTTCACATCCTCCACTAAAAGTCTTAGTAGCTCTCTATTCTCTTGCTCTGACCATATTACATAGTCACACCTAGCTTTTTGGGCCCTCTCACCATCTTGAGAGTACTCTTCCATAGTTTGAGATTCCGAAGTAAAATTCATCCTACAACGCAAGAGGAATCACTTATAACAAACAACTTTAGCACGTATAACAACATTTATGTTCATGATAACAAACAACTTTTAGACTGTAACAATCATTCAAAACAGAGGGATCACTTATAACAAGATGTAAAGATGGTTATCTAATATTAGATATAACATCATGTTCATCCATCTTCTTTTCTGAGAACCTAGTTATCTAATATGAGGGGGGGGGGCTTCCTGTCTGAGAAAATAGTTATCTAATATGCGGGGGAGAAAAGCTCAAGTTATGCATATAATCTAGAAATATTGTTAAAACTTAGTTGTTCTCGTCAATTAACCCATAAGACTGCGAACAATTTCTCTTAAACTATCCTCATATCCTCCATATAGAATCCAAATAAGCAAAATGTACTTGATAATGAACTACACAATGACACAATACAAGGGATTTGACATTATAGAGGATTATAAATACACAATGACAGCATAGTATTGATGCAATGCCCCAAAAACATATTAATATGTATACATTTGCTTTTCGATGTGAAAGAAATGCACAATGATAGCATAGTATAAATACATACAAGGGATTTGCCATTATATAAGGTAGGATTGTACTTGATTTGAAGGAACACATACAAGGGATTTGCCATTATAGAGGATTATAAATACACAATGACAACATAGTATTGATGCAATGCCCCAAAAACATATTAATATGTATACATTTGCTTTTCGATGTGAAAGAAATGCTTCTGTCAGGCTATTTGTTTTAACTCCTATGAATTTAAGTTCACTTACTTGGTCATAATTATAAATCATTGGAGATGACTACAGGATGGAAGAATATGGGAAGAACGGAGACTTATAAATTGGTCTCAAAATTAATGGGGCGACGGTGGTAAATGCTTAACTTGTCAGTGGGTTAATGCTTCAAATGCCTCTTCAGGACAACACCTCAAATGGACAAGGACAAGCACAGGAAGTCCGTGGAAGTTAAACTATAATATATTTTGACTTTAAAAAAAGGTATGATTGGTTATCAAATAACATCTGCTGTCGTCTTCTATTGTAATGAATGTGCTGTTAAATTCTCATCTATAATCGAAATGAACTTCAAAACATATATAGTGATACTGCATCTACTGTTTTAAATTGTGAAGCATTTTGGATTTGGTTGTTTGATTTACATTTTCTGTAGTAGTGGCATGTGGTATTCTTTATTTTTCTCGTTTAGTACTTACTAATCTTGTTATAGAATGCTGTGGAAAGATGGCAATTAAAATTTCCTACTTCCACAAAAATGGGAAATAGGTAAGAAAGCATGTGTTGCCAGCTTATAATGCCCTTTTGTCATTCAAATATTTTCACAACAAAAGTTATGTTAGAAGTAATTTATAA